TCGACGCATGCCAGCTACGTTCCGCCACCGCCAACCTATGTGCACTCGACTTCGACCCATGCTAGCTATATCCCACCTCCACCAACCTACGCGCACTCTTCGTCGACGCATGCCAGCTATCTTCCGCCTCCACCAAGCTACGCCCACTCTTCGAAGTCGACGCACGCTAGCTACGTCCCACCACCAAGCTACGCACACTCTTCGCCGTCAACGCACGCTAGCTATATCCCGCCTCCACCAACCTACGTGCACTCGTCCTCGACGCATCACACGTATGTCCCACCAACGTACCCGGTCTCAACTCCTTCGACGCACCAGACGTACGCTCCACCTCCAAAGACGTATGTTCCCCCGCCACCAGCCAAGAACACCACGACCCCATGCCCGTCGACTTTGAAGACCACGACCCACCCGCTGCCACCCAAGAACACCACGGTTCCAGCTCCTCCACCGGTCCTTCCTCCGATCGTCACTCACCCATACATGAACACGTCGACCACGAGCGTCCATATCACGACGAGCGTGACCCAGGAGACCACTGTCTACAAGACGAGGCCGACTAAGCCAGCGGTTTCCATTCCACCAAAGGAGCCGCTCCCACCTCCATCGTACCCCAAGCAGCCTGAGCAGCCCCAGTCACCATCGAAGCCAATCGAGCCCGAGACTCCCAAGCAGCCACAACAGCCAGAGACTCCAAAGTCGCCAGTGCAGCCCCAGCAGCCAAACAAGCCTGAGACCCCCAACTCGCCTGTCCAGCCTCCAGCTCAGCCACCAGTCAAGAGCGCTTCGACCACGGCTCCAGCTCCAAGCGGTCCTTCGGTTGAGATGTCCAACGATGGCGAAACGAACCTTCCAGCATCGACCTTTGCGCTGGTTCTCATGATCGCGGCTGCTATCTACTTGTCGTAGATGCCAGGCTCAGCGAGGCGTTGAGGCGTTCAAGTGGAATACATCCACCCATTTCATATGTGAGTCTCGAATTCCTCGCACTGAAATAAGGGGCCTGATAAAAAGCTGATTTTGACGTTCAAATCGAAGGTACAGGGACTTTCAGAGTCAAAACATTCCGTTCTCTGAACGAAGGATATCATGGACATTCCACACGTGCTTTGTGAATGCAACATGAGGCAACACTCCTTGGGGATTTTGGCGAAGAGGAGGAGCTGTTCCTTCTGGAAAGAGAAGTAACGTATCTAGTTGATAGGAAGAGAGAAAAGTGTTGTCGTTCCTTACATTTGTGCACACTCTGAACAATCTGTGCGACTCCGTATCAGGAAATGGTTGTTCCTGCTTCAGGCTCGCCAGGCAAGTGCGATGTCGTTCGAGCTTCCTTGGTCTCTTCTTTATCCCTGGCATTTACCATGTTCAAAATCAGAACTCCTTCCTAAGTTTACACCTCTGTTCGCTGACCTCTCTGTTCTCGCTCTGCACATCGCACAGCATGCATGGTATTTTCGTCGTCTTGGCACATGCAAGGACCTCTCACTTCAACTTTACATTGCCACCCTTGACCCAACCTTTCAAACACCATCAAGATATCTCCTCGCAAGTTCTAAATTCGCAAATAGCAGGGAAGACGACGATAGAGTCCAGATATTTCAAGCGACCGCGCCGAGACTTGACCATATGTGAGAACCCACAAAGTGTGCTGGCATTATTCCTTGGCTGCTAATATATCCTCAGCTCAAAGTGGATCTCGCCGGGTCTTGGAGCCTCTCAAGGGGCACGACATGAAAGCTGAAGATCCTTGGCATGCTACTGTTGGGGGGTTGTTATCGTGGACCCTCGCTCTCGAATATGCTGCTTCAGAGTTTGTCGACTTCATCTTCGTTTTCGATGTCAGCGGGATAGGGCCATGAGTGCAAAGATGCGCTTGCGATGTCTTGTTGCACTGAGTCTGTGCATGTACCTTGGAGCTGTTGGGGCCTTGAATGGGACGGTTGAATATTTGAATGTTTCGACTCCCTCGGAGCCGTCTGCATTTGGGGCCACCCACGGCATTGGAGATTATGTCGCCGCCGGTATTGGCATCGAGAGTACCACTACCACTTCCTCACGAATCATCAATGCTACAGCGAGATCATCACCACACACTCAAGCATTGAGCACTGGCCTGTCCGGCTCAAACGACGCTTCTGTCGTCCAGCACCGCAATGCAACCTCCACCCAGGCCATTTTGGGTCTAAGCCAATGTTGGGACCAGTGGTCAACATACTGGGACAAGCTGCCCTCATTTTCCACACATCTAGAGACTGCCTGCGTCTCTACGTCCGAGGTCATGACCTATGCGTCCACGATTTTCTACACAATGACCCGAGCTGATGTGACACCGTACACAAGCCTCACCACCTGGACAGGCACGGCAACCATCGATAACAATGGCTTTGCGGTCAGCACCTACTACAAGATCGAAACGTGGACGATCAAGAATACCCGCTCCGCAAAAGGCACTACATACACAAGTGCTGCGTCCGTGCTATACACTTATGTCGAAACGTGCGATCGAGCATACTCGACTACTGCATCAGCACGCCAACCAAATTGTACGTTACCAAGCACAAGTCTGCCACAATGTCAGACTTCTTGGGACTCGTGGTTGAGTACTCAGCTAAGCCCAATCGAGGGTACCAAGACTTCGAATGTATCCGCTGGCCCAGCGCCCTCTTGCACACAGGCATCTATTGCTGAAAAGACGTGTGTGTCGCTTAAAGATGCGTTCGTCTCCAGCAGCTTGGACTTGTCGTACTTCAGCAAGATACTGCCTTCCAACATAACGCCAGACGGAAGGCCCGAACATCACGTGCACTGGTCAGGAGGCTACTATTCGTGGCGCGCTGGGGACTGGAATTGGCCACCAAGCACAGCATTCTTCGCTCCAAGCTGCACGCTGTGAGTACTCACCAACATGGGAAATTGTGGTATCGTAATGACTTTGTGACTTTAGAGGTTGCGGGAGATGCTCCATCAAAGGAGGTACGGTCGATCTGCTCTATTGGCCGCCAGCAACAACGAAGACGATTGGAGCGAACGACAGTGCTCCTACTACGACGAATGACAACTTCGTTATCACGACGTTGGGCACAACCCTAACCAGTCCTACACTTTACATCTCATACCGCAGCCTTTACGCAGAAGACGCATGCGGCAAAAAGATCGGCACCACCATCTACGACACCATCCTGGCAATCCCGGCAGAAAGTACGCTTCAGAGCATCTGGGGATCCGTCGGTAGTGTCGACGAGTACCAAACAACGGATGTCTACACATCGACGGCTTCGTTCAACGTATCCGACCTATATCAAGATCCTGTACCCATGAGCATCTATTCAAGCCAACCTTGGTGTGCCAAATGGGCGTACTTCTATCTCTGGAACAACTTCACCAGTACGTCGTGGCATTGTCCTCATACGGAGGCGTACAAGCCGATCATCAAAGTGCCGGAAGATGTTCTGAAGAAGGTTGATCCGCTCTGGGCTGATTGTGTCGAGGCGTATGGGGGCGTTTATGATCCACCGTTGGCTTTGAGACCTGCTTCGACTGCTGCGGGTGTTACTGTGCCGAATCAGCCTGATTCGATGACGACTCCGGCTGCTCAGGCTTCGACGCCGCTGCCGATGGTTGCGCCATCTACTACTGCGGTGCGAGCAGAATCTCCTAACCCGAAAGAGCCTTCAGTGCCAGCTCAACCTCAGCCTACTGCCGATGACTCCCCAAGCGAATCGCCGGCTGAGAGCCAGGACGAGGAACACGACAGCACGCCACAAGAGCAAATACCAGGTACTCAGCCCACAAGCCTTGACGACAGTGTATTGCAAGAGGCTATCGAATCAGCTGTGGCAGCAGTGCAAGCAGAGCAGCCTCAAGAAACTCCACCAAGTCCTACAGTCGCAACGACCTCCCCAGAAGTGCTTACAATTGCCTCGCAAACCTTCACACATGTGCAAGCGGACGCACACGCAGTGGTCTTCGCTGACGCTGGGACGTCATTCTCAATCCAAGCGGGTGGAGATCCAGTCACGGTTGGCTCCAACCTCGTGTCTGCGATCAGGTCCAATGAGCTCGTCGTGGGGGCAGGCGATGCGGCGAGCACTTTGACGTTGGAACCAGCCGGGGGGACGTCCCAGCCCAGAGTCGAGGTGACGGTGGGCTCTGAGATCTTCAGCGTTGAGGTGGGAAGTGCAAATGTTTTCTTCAACGAGGAATCTACCTTCAGGTTGGAAGCTGGCGTGGCGACGCAGATTGGATCAAACGTCGTGAGTGCTGTCCCTGGGGGAGGGGCCATTGTTGTTGATGCTGCAGGCGGCCCGACTACCATTCCTTTGCCAATCATCGGAACCAGTAACATCGACAGTGATGCAGGCGTCAACGGTGCGGAATTCGAGATTAGCGGCGAATCGTACACGGCTATCAAAACTTCTGGCTCAGATGGCAAAGTCGTGGTCGCTCAAGGCAGCAGTGCCCTTACAATTGACGGAACAGCCACTTCCATCAATGGCCAGGCTCTCACAGTAGCTTCAGAAGGAGTCGTTGTGAATGGTGTCACGCATTCGTGGACCAGTGCTGGAATTGTATCTAGCCCTGATGTGTCTTCTTCTAGGAGCTCTACAGCGGCTGCATCAAGGCAAACAACGAAACCCGTGGCCAGTGGTGATCAAACTGCGATTCCTGAAGGGACAAGTCCACCAGGGCCGACGTCGACGTCAGGAGCGACAGACCACCAGCTGCGCCTGTTGTGATATTCTCGGCCATGTTGATGCTGGTAATATGGGATTTCGATATAGAGGGGAATTGAAATTGATTTGCCCACTTTCACGTGCTTGAGACGTTCCTTCCCTGTTTGGACGAAACGTTTGTTGAAGGCTAAACTTTATTTTGACGACTGCGATCGCAGAAGCCGACGATGCAGGACGTCATTTGATTGCAAGTAGATGGCTGACGATCGAGAAGATTAATGGTTATAGCAAAGACTGTATGTGACGTGTCTTGCTTTTTCGAGGATCCGAGGCACTGGGAGTAGGGTGAGGAAAAGAGTCTCAACATACGCTCGCAACCCAGCGGGACAAGCAGGCTGGCCTTAGAAGAGAACGACAGCCAAACGTGTTCATCACATGGAAATCGATCCATCGTTCTAGACAGTATCGCCTTCGGCCAATAACAAAAAAGAAGGAGTAATACTACCCACTACAGCAGCCTATTCGGGGCCACATCGCCAAGTACCGACGGCACTACGCAACCAGGAACACGCAACGCCAGCCAAACACTCTCCCCAGCACAAGCACAAGCATTCCGTCCGTAACACGGTCCCTGCATTTGCGTCTGTGAGACAAACATAGTGCGTGGCCGCTGTCGTACCGCAGGCGTGTCGTACGACGGGTTGGGCTGAGGAAGTTTTCGGGAAGTGAAAAATTTCCCTTGTTTCTCGCCTTCTCGCCCATGCCGTCCCAACCGCGTAGCGATTAGCGAGAGCGACGGTGCGGTTCCTGCATGGCGAGGCGTTTTCCTAGGGGCGCGTGTGGCGGTTTGGGGATCGGCTGGGACTCGGCGGGATGTCGCTGTATCTATTTGGTGTAGATGGGTGAGGTGGTACAAAGGTGGGATGGAGGACAAAGAAGTGCAGAGAGAGGAGAGGGAGGAGAGCGGGAACGACGAAACAAGGCATTCCGGGAGGCGGGAGTCGGATGATTGGCCGGCTAGGAGCGTGAGAAGCTGCTGCTGCCCCACCAAACATCCGCGAAGTCAGTTTCTTGCTGGTGACATAGTGCTGCACTCCTCGACCCTCTTCCACCTTCCCTCGCCCACACTGCCTCTCCTTGCCCGCGCGACTACCAGCAGAGACAGCCTCGCCGTGCCGTCAATCCACACTAGCCGTCGCCTGGCGATTCGGGCCAGCGCCGCGTCCGGGAGAGCGTGAAAACCGCGAGAGAAGATTTGCTAAGCATTGCTCCAAGCAGTAGCCACAATACAGTCATACATACAACCGCCTGTTCTGTCCTGTCCCTCCGAACCCGAGGCTCGCTGCTCACCACCACCCGTCCGTCCGCGAAATCTTCCGCCGACATCATCGCATACTCGCATACCATCAAACCTGGGAAGCCTGCACATGTGAAAGGCACGTCCGCTGAAACGCCCTACAGCTGCCACCACGCCCACCGCTATTGGGCTTCGCCGGTACCGGGATTCTTCCACCCCTCCAACCCACCCGCCGCACTCGATCGCTGCGCAACAACACATCGCGACCTGCTCAGAGCGGTTAGGGCGGAAACCTGCGGCTGCCATCTGCACCACAGCTCGACCCAGTACGTGGGCTGCTGCCACCCACTGATCCCCTCCAGCCCGTCACCGTCGAAATGGACAAGATCAAGCAGGCTTTTGTCCCGCGTCCCGACGCAAACACTTCGATGATGCCTAGCCAGGGTGCGCGTCAGGAGACCGCCGACAAGGACCTGCAGGGAATCGAGTCCGTCACGGGACTGGACCAGCGGAAACGTGATGACGACCTGAACCCGGAAGCCCAGAAAGAGTTGCAACAACTGCGCAGCACGCTGCAGAACAACATCCAGTCCTCTCGAATGCAGCATCATGCCTTCGAGCCGCTATCCCTCCCAGGCTCTCAGCCAACCTCAAGAGTGAGTGCACCGCTGATGGGCTGACTTTTTGTACTAGAGATCAGCTGCTGACAGGATTGGGTGAACAGGTTCCTTCGGGCTCAGCTACCCCCCATAGGAGACCTCATATGCACGCAGGTTCGACTGAGGCATCCCCCAAACCCTCCCCGCCCACCTCCGCCGTGCATTCACCGCCGTTGACCCCCGCCGCCACTCGTTCGCGAGATGGTGGCAAGCCGGCGCCCCCCACCAGCGCCCCGGCCGTGCGGCCACCCCAAGACATCATGACGCCCCAGCGGTCAGCATCACCTCAGCGGAATGACGCCGGTGGCCCCGTGTCCAGTCATCCCAAGCAACAACCATCGCATTCCATCGGACCAAGCGGTGACTCTCAGCCGCCTTCAAAAGATGCGAGCCCCAACGGAACCCCCGGAAGCACTGCTCCTTGCACTCCTCGACCTTTTACTCCCACCACCGACGCAAAAGCCCAAGGCAAGAGACAATCGCAGGCGAATGACATTGGCGATGCAAAGTTCAGATTCGGAAACCGAGATCCAGCAATCGGCTACGCAAACTCGGGTACAGGTCCATCGCTTCCACCTTCGGTTCCCACGACGCTCCCACGGTCCACATCCGGTAACGTGCAGACACTCCAGAAAGTGGAGCAAGACAAGCGATCGAGCTTCTTCGGAGGCAGGAAGGGCGATGATGACAGCTCGTCGACGATCAACGAGAAGGGCCACCATCATTCGAGCTCGAAGTCGAACTTGAAGCGCTTCTTCAAGTTTGGAGGAGATCATAAGCATAAGGATAAAGACAAGGAGTCGAAATCGAATGGAAAGTCAGATGGCACCAGGACGCCAACCCACACTACTTCTGCTGGCGAGCAGCCCAGTGTGCCATTCGCCGATGATCATGGATTACAGTCCAAGTACGGCAAATTCGGCAAGATGCTTGGTTCTGGAGCTGGTGGATCGGTCAGATTGATGAAGCGCAGCGCGGATGGTACAGTCTTCGCGGTGAAGCAGTTTAGGGACCGACACGCATACGAGAGTGAGCGCGAATACAACAAAAAGGTCACGGCAGAGTTTTGCATAGGATCGACACTGCACCATGGCAACATCATCGAAACGATCGACATAATACACGAAAAGGGCAAGTGGTACGAAGTCATGGAATACGCACCCTACGACTTGTTTGCGACCGTCATGACCGGCAAGATGGGGCGTGACGAGATTACCTGCTCTACATTGCAGATCCTGAGTGGTGTGCTGTATCTCCACAGCATGGGACTGGCACATCGGGATTTGAAGCTGGATAACGTGGTCATCAACGAGCACGGCATCATGAAGCTGATCGATTTCGGAAGCGCGGTCGTGTTTAGGTATCCCTTCGAGAACGAGATCGTTCTGGCGACTGGTGAGTGAAGCTCACATGTCTCGTGCAACGTGCGCTAACCTCAAGCAGGTGTCGTCGGATCGGACCCATATCTTGCCCCCGAAGTTTATGATCATGCTAGGTACGACCCGCGCATGGCCGACATCTGGTCGATAGCTATAATATTCTGTTGCATGACGTTGCGACGTTTTCCATGGAAGGCCCCTCGGATCTCGGATAACTCATATCGGCTATTCGTCTCACCACCAGATCCTGACCAGGACAAGCTGCTCGAATCCCACCGAAGATCACTAAACCCCAAGCCTCAGCCATCTACCGCACCTGCGTCGAGGAATCCAAGTGGCGATGACTCGCACAACGATTCGTCGACTGAGCACAAGCATCATCACCACCATCACCATCACCACAAGAAGGAGGAAGGTGGCGGCAGTGAACCTGTGAGTAGGCAAACGACAGCCAGTAATCCTGACTCGCAACCTACAATTAAGGGACCGATTCGTCTGCTACGCCTTCTTCCTCGTGAGACTCGTCACATCATAGGCCGAATGCTGGAGCTGGATCCCAAGAAGCGTGCGGATATGGATGAAATTCTAGCGGACCCTTGGGTGCAGAACTCCCTCGTCTGTAGGCAAGAAGAGAATGGAGTGATCATCAAGGCGCCGAACCACACGCATACCCTTCAGCCGAGCAACGCGGGCGGAAACTAGGAGAGTCTGACTGAAACGAAAGACGACGCTGAAGAGGATGTCAAGGAGGATAGCGCTTCGCTGTGGAGGAAGGTGGGGTTGGCTGCCCAAAGCTTGTTCGGCGAGAGACGTCCCAAGTCTGTGCATGCCGGGCAGGCGAGGGCTGATGGCAAGCGCAAGACGGGGCTATCGTGGAGCTCGACCTGCACATTGTCGTGATGCCGGGAGATGAACGAAGACAGGGCAAGACCGGTGGATGCTTTACTCCGTCGTCCCGTCGACATACATACCGACCAGAAGACTGGCCAAGGAGTGGACTCGTACATAAGACCAAGGGGCGGAGTTTGGACGGATCGTTCATTGCAAGGCGTCGGGGCGTTCATTGATGATGATTGTTGGAAGAGATGAGCAAAAAAGAGGATGGGCGAGTTGGTTTTGGGCTCTTTGGAAATTCAGATTCAAAACTTAATCAGGAAAGAGAAAAAGAAACGACCAGACTGACGAACTACCAAGCTGCAAGAAAAGAGATATTGCATGCGGCGAGGAAATTTAGGATGAATGATGGCGTTCGTTTTTGTTGTAGTGCTGCTGCCTTCTTATAAGTAATTTAACCCTTTCTTTGGGGATTTTTTTGTGAAAATGGAGATGAAAATGAATGCTATCAACAGCAAGATGGGAAGATGGAAAGGAGGAAAGGAGGGAAGGGATGATGTTCGCTACTCTTACAGAATAAAATGATTGAATGAATGAATGGAAAGAATGAGAATTTGTATGAAAGTTCCTCTCTTTGAATGAATCCAGGAGTACAAGCTCGATTTGACGGATGTAGATGCTCGACGAGGATGGAAGTTGACCTGAAATACTAGTAGGAGACGTGCATGTGCAGGAGGGAGGAGTTGATGATGATGACCGGATTTAAGAGGTTCATTTCGCCAAGGAGATGATGTACCCTCGGTGATCTGCTCAAAGCGGAACGTCTATCCCTATTACTCCCAAACCCTCTGAGCAGCCTGGAGTACAATCAGCAGCGTAGTCGACGATGAAAAGGTAGAGAGACAGAGCTCGATACGTTCCACTTTTGACCGTACCGAGTCGGGTATACATGCTGTTTGCTTTCTTGCCTCTTGGGGGGATGTGTACGCTTTGAGGAGGGTTGGAGGGCAGCGAAGAGCCGGGGAGTTGCTGGTGGGTGGTGCCAGGTGAGGTCTGGATGAGTTGGTGGGTTGTGGGTTGTGAGAGGATATGGAGACGGAGATGGATGCCTTCTTTGCAGGCTAGGGTCAGTCAACATCTAATTGCCCATGGATGATAGCGAAGTCGATCTGGATGACATGCTCATTCACGTCGCACATGGCGATGGCGATGGCGTAAGGGCAGGGTCAGTACGGTTTTGTAGCTCTTCTCGGGCAATGCCAATGGCCATTGTATCGAGTCCCGGACTCGAGATGCATTGTCAGCGTGGTTCGCTTGGAGAGATCGCAGGAGGTGTTCGGTAAAGCGGCCTCGTCGAAGGAACGGACCTGAGGTGCGGTGACGAGGCCTGGGCATGTTTCTTCGGGTATCGCTTCGGTTTCCTTGAAGAGAGAGCTGAGTATAGCGGCTCTTCGTGGACAGAGTGATTTCTCCGTCTTTCGCGATCTGGTCTTGCTAGATCAAGTGTTGGACTTGCATCTATATTCCTTTTCGGCTGAAGATCACATCGCTCGACCTCGGAAAATTCATGATAAAGGGAAAGATGTTCATACATCGAGATGATCTCGTGACACGCTTACCTACATGCTGCAGGATACGTATCATGTACCTCTCAGGAAGGCATGAAACCCGCGTGTTTCATGTCGAGCGACGGCGGCGAGGCTAAATTGTCTGTCTGACCGCACGTGCGCGACGCTCGTGCTAGTTTGACTTGATGATGTCGATAGCTCTTGTAGCTCTTGCACGGCTTCTGCTGGTGATGTTCTCTGTAGCGGCTGGCGTCGTGTCGAAGGATTATTGACGAAGAGAGTCGAAGAGCTGTCGTAGACGGGTACGGGGATGACGACGGCAGAAGATCAATGCCTGTGTTCTGGAAGCCGCCACTTTTTCTCCAATCCTCGGAACCACCTGGTGAGAGCGGCACATGTCGCGGAAGCAGACGCATTGTCGCCATGTGACGACGGGAGGAATTCTACAAGCCCATCACCATCAGCAGCGGCATCTTCTTGACGATAGAGGTCTATCTCGCTGGACGAGTAGAGCCAGTCGTGTTATCAACCCATCCATGCGGCGAAGCATCGAGCTGTGTTTTAGGCTTTGTACAGCAGAGCTGCATGCATGTACATGTACCCAAGTATCCTTCCTGTCCGTCTTCTTCCTCTGCGATTGAGAGGATGCTGATGATGTCGTGAGAGGCGATCCAGCGTTTCACCCATTGCGTTTCGTCGCCTTCTCACCCAGCGATTCGCCGTAACACACGCGTACCCTTTTTCTTTTCCCCCGGCCTTTCGTTGCCGCCGCTGCTTTGCCAGGTCAACGCACGCTCTTGTTCGGCGGTTCATGTGGTTTGCTGCGAGAGGCCTGGATTGCGCCATGGTCCCCCATCCGCAATCCCCCAGCAACCAACAGCGAAACGCTGCAACGGCCAGAGCCTGATTGGCCACGATTACAGCCAGCCCAGTTACACCCACGCCTCGTCCCGACAGCTAGGCACAGTATGTACCCTTATTCGCAAGCACGTCTATCGCTGAGGCCATCCCTCTTGCTGCTCGAACTGGAGCTCTGCCACTCGCTGACGTACCACGAGTGTTTCTGTTATCCGATAAGCTAGCTATCCCATCAGCATCATCGTCACATGGGCTGACGAGCGAGTTTTGGGGCCCGCTGGCTTTGGTTTCGTTGGTTCTGTTTGGCTGGAGTCGAAGGAAGCTGGGCCTGGTCTTAAACGACGGTCGGCTCGAGTTCTGTTCGAGCAGTTTCCCTTCAAAAGCAGCGCGGCTGGCCTGAGTTATTGGACCGAGTTTGTTCCAAAGATCTTCTACTACTCGTTGTCGTGCTTTGGCTGGCTGGGCTGGTTCATCAACGGACGGGTAGACCTGCCGCTAAATCAGACATCGTTTTTTTCTCTACCCATCCGACCGCCCACTTCTTCAGCGGCGGCTCCGTCTGTGCTTCAGTCTTAAAAAGAACCCTTCTTTCTCTGCTTGCCAGTCATATAGGCACGTTGCCTCGCTAACTCCTAGCGAGAGGCCTCATCCTCCTCTACGCTGCTTTTTGATTATTCCTCTCCCCCACCGCTGGGCCTGGCCATATTGACTGGTCGTGTGCCTCTCACATATGCCGCTTTGCCGTGCCCTACACATAAGGGAATAAGGCTCGCCTCCCAGGAAAAAAAATGGGCCGCTTTCAACCCAAGGCTCATTTTCTCGACGTCCACCTCGCCAACGGAGGACATCACTCTACGACTTTGACCACGACCACCACTACTACGACCACGACTTCTGCGCCGATCTATTCGTCCTACTTTGCCGGCGCGATCAAACCCGAGATCACCCATTTGCGATTATCTCCACCCCGAGAGGAGTCCACGCGAGTGCAATTGCAGAAGCAGCGATTAAAAGAGCAACAACATGCGAAGCAGCTGGTGAGCACCACAATTCCTGGATACAAGACCTCGGCCGGTATGTACCATGCGCGTGTGTGGCGTATTTTTCTTGTCGATTCTTTCATTTTAAAAAAGTACTTGCTGGCGTTCCCGAGATAAGGCACAGCAGCAGCAGCAACGACGATAAAGGATTTGTGCCAAAGTGCAAGCACGCGGCGAATTTTTTTCTCTGAGAAATTCCTCCTATAATTTCTGCTTGTATATTTATTTTATGGTGCATGGCAGAAGCTAATCTAACATGTCTGCACTCACAGCTTTCTTCGCCTCGCTCCGAACCAACCTCCGCTTGCACGCATCACCACCGCCCTCGCCAATCTCGACGCCCAATTCTATGCGCGGATCTGCAGCATCCCTGCCACCACCATCACCACTCGCCGTCCCCATCATGGAATCCGAAGTTCCAGAAACCACCAACGATCCGCTCAGCGGCGTGCCCGAATTGAAATCGTATCTAGCGACCGAGGAGAGAGACCGCCTGGATGGTCTGAACTTGGTCGCGGATAGTGTCGCACAGCAGCGCAATGCAGCCAACCGAGCTTTGATCTTCCACCCGCTGAATATGGCTGTCTGGGTCGGGGTCGTAGGAATTGTGTGGAGGTACCTTCTGAGCAGAGGGTTCGACTACATTGCATGCGGGTTGGTCTCCGTCGCGATCGCCATGGCCACGCTGTTGGGCATGAGATATCTGACCGAGGCATACCTCGGCGTAGCGGAGAAGATCAACTGGGACTGGGCGGGTGATGTGGATGTGATAATCACAAAGTTCGGGAATGAGGTGATCGGGGCGTGCATAATCGAGTGGGTGTCTGGCGACAGCAGGAAAGGGAAGAAGAAGGCGTGGAGGGGGTACATAAAGGGCTGGACCGTGATTCTGCGGTATCGACACAAGGGCGTGGGCAAGGCATTGCTGGAGGATGCCGTGAAAGAGGCGAAGAAGAAGGGAGCGGAGAGTTTGGAGTTTGCGGACGATCATGCGAGTGAGTATATCAATGAAATCCGTGGGATGTAAGATGGAATGCTGACATTGATGGCCACACAGACTCGACACGGATCCTCCCGAAGATGTACAACGGAGCCATGGACCGCAACGAGCGCAAGAGCATCGAGATGCTGGCGGACCTGTGCGAGACGAGTCCCGTGCGAGGCAAGAGGTTAAAGTGATGAATTGATATTGTAGTAATTTCGTCACTCCCATCTACGACTGTCACGAGACACAAGAGCAACGTTTGAGCATATAGATACCATATGAGTTGGATATAAAGCCTAATTGGGATAGAGGGAGGACGGGAAATGCAGTGTCTATACCATCAAGGTTCTGGCCTTGGAACTCTTCTTCACTCTCAGAAAAGATACATGGACTGCTGACACACATTCCAACCGCCGAAAGAAGCAAATTGATTGACACGGCCCCAGCCGCTTCGGCCTCTTCAATCAATCTCACAGCCAGACCCCGCCTGATCTTCAGGTACCCGCATCAAAACCAGCCGCGGTTCCTCGGTCCCTCTCCGACCTCACTTCATTCCATTCGCTCTTATCACCACCAACCCATCCTGCAAACCCGTCCCGTCTGCCAACGCCCATACCGCCTGTCTGGATGCGGTGTCTGCCTGTCGAATAGGCCAGCGCGATCGCACGACGGCCCTGCAAGGATTGCATCTTGACTTTTCTACGTTCGAGGTTGGGCCTTTCAGCGTCGTCGACGTTGTTGATCTTGAACTCGATGGATGTGAGGATTGCAGCGAGCAAAGTAAAATAGATGTGCCTGGAGTGACATCCATTAGTCTCGCTGGGGTACTGCGCCAGTCAAGATACATTTTTTCTGAAGAACGTCGAGGATGCCTGTCGTCGATCGACAAGAGGCTGAAGGTTGTTGGACTTCTTGAACGCGGCAGGACGAGTTCGAACGCACATCACCCCGTTCTGGACGCCTCGAGACCTTTTGGCTGGCCATGTGCCCCTACACGCATGTATCGCTGTATCTTTTTCTCACGCCTACTGCGGGATGGCAGAGCGTGCAAGTCTAGATGGCTCATAGCAGTTCTCGATCCTACCCTCTCAGGTGGCTTACTTGCCTGAAGTGGCTTGAACGAGCTTGAGCGGCATAGGAAGGAGAGTAGTCATGGGGATTTGAATGAAGCTTGATGGTGAAGCTTAAAGGTAGGTGTATATCATTGCCGTTCTTCTACTCGTTTTGCTTTCACTCAGCAGAGCTGCTCATTCCTCCACCATTCGCTGGATCGAACACCCTCGCTAAACATGGCTCGCTCCACTTTCGCAGCCTTACTGGCAACCTACCTCACAACAACCCTCGCCACCCCAAACCCAGTGGAAGTCGAACGCGAAGCCATAACCCCCGCGGCCCTCCTCCCCCGCGCAACATCCACAAGCATAACAAACCAAAACCAGCTCCTCGCCGCCTTCTCCTCCTTCTCCGCCGACATCCAATCCCTCTCCGCCGCCATCTCCGTCGGCGAAGCGATCTTCACCAACATTGTCCCCGCCCCAGGCCCGACCGCAATTCCCCAGCTCCTCAAAGAACTCCAGACCGTCAATAACGCCAACCCCGGCGACATCTTCAAATCCGGCGCCGAGATCCTCCTGAATGGCTTCTCTGGCGGCGACTATGCGAACATCGCGGCGGGATACTTGCTCGAGAGTTCCACGTTTAATATCAACCTCATCCCTCCGAAGACTGTCATCTACCCCAAGGCGGATCCAGCAGATGCTCCGTACGATATCTCTGAGGCGACGTTGCGATCGGCAATATACATTCCTCCGACCTTCACGTACGGCAAAATCCAGCCGGTGATTTTCGTTCCTGGGACTGGCGTTCGTGCGGGTCAGACCTGGGCGCCGACGTATGGGAAGTTGTTCAAGCAGAACAAGATTGCGGATGCGGTGTATTTGAATTTGCCGAGTGAGAATCTGGATGATATCCAGGCGTCGGCTGAGTATATCGCTTATGCGGTGAATTATATCTCGAGTATTAGTGGGCGGAATGTAAGTCTACCATACACTTACCTTGGGCATGCGGGAGTTATGGTCAACTGACGATATATCAAGGTCTCGACAATCTCTTGGTCCTCCGGCTCGGTCAGCGGTCAGTGGGCGCTGAAATACTGGCCCTCAATCCGAAAGCGCCTCTCCAACAAAATCTCCTTCTCGCCCGACTACCACGGCACCATCTTCGCCCAACTCCTCTGCCCAGGTTTCGTCACCCCTGGCTCGGACCCAGCCGTGTGCCAACAGAATTACAACTCAACATTTATCCGCACTCTGCGCAACAACGGCGGCGACTCCGCCTACGTCCCCACAACAAACATTTACACCATCTTCGACGAGATCGTCGAACCTCAACAAGACCCCAACGCATCCGGCGCTCTCCTCGACGCCCGCGGCGTCGGCGTCTCCAACACCGAAATCCAAAGCGTCTGCACCGCCTTCCTCCCCGGCGGCACGCTGTACAACTCCCACGAAGGAGTCATCTACAACGCCCTCGGCTACGCGTTGGTCATCGACGCCCTCACGAACGGCGGCCCAGGCCGTGTCTCGCGCGTCAACGCTACGTTCCAGTGCTCGCAGTTCGCCACGCCCGGTCTGAGCCTCGCAGATATCTTCGCGACGGAGGCTCTTATCCCTATCGCTGCTTTTCAGATTATTGCGTTTTTGCCTAAGTCGGCTACGGAGCCGCCGATTAAGGGGTATGCGCAGAAGGATATTCCGGCGTAGGGGAGCGTGTCCTGTTGATGATGGTTCATGAAAAGTCTTTGCTGTTAGCTGCTTTTTGTAGGAGAATGTCATCGATCTTTCGATCTTTCGCCTTTGTCGTTGTTGGCGATGTCTTCAGATGTAACTCATGATAAGTAAAAGGGCAAGTAAATGGGTAAGTGATAGAGCCAGTGAAAGGGCAAGTAAAGCCTAAGTAAAGGGGCAAGTAAAGCCTGAGTAAAGGGGCAAGTAAAGCCTAAGTAAAGCCCAAGTGAAACCTAATTAAAGGGTAAGTGAGGGAGTAAGTGAGGGAGTAAGTGAGGGAGTAAGCAAGAGAGTAAGTGAGGGAGTAAGCAAGAGAGTAAGCGAGGGAGTAAGTAAGGGAGTAAGTAATGGAGTAAATGAGGGAGTAAGTGAGGTAGCAAGTAAGAGAGTAAGTAAGGAGAAAGTAAGAGAGTAAGTCAAGGATAAGGAAGGGAGTAAGTGAAGAGTAGGGGAGGAGTACGTGAGGGAGTAAGTGATCAGCAACTAAGGAAGTAAATATGTCTGGGATCCCAAGTACACTAGTGATAGAAGTCGATTGGAAGATGCAAGACGGCATGTTCGGTAGGATTTATGTTGTGCAGTGGAGATGTCCAGAGCCTAACAAGGCTGTCTTGTCTCTGAGACAAGATTTCCTCGAATTGTTGTCCTTGGTTGTCTCGAGGACGAAATGGAAATGTGCCCTACAGCTTGCAATGCCGCTCTATGGCTGATCTCCAGTATAGACAATTCAAACAAGACCCCTTTCACCATCTTCTACTTGGGGTTGGCCGCTCGACGGCGATCAGGACTCGAGCCCCGTTTGTTTGTTAGTATGATTTTGACGATATCATATCATTATTCGAGATCTGGCTTCATTTAGGACACGATTGAACAAGTGATGAAGGGCGACGAGTCCAGGCTAGATATGGCAGGTGTGAAGCAGGGCTCCTGGCACATGTCAATGCATGTTTAAGGTTTGGCACTAAGCTTAGTGAAATACCCTGAGAAGGAAGGAGCGCAGGGTCTTTGTATCCAACATCAGCTTCTTTGGCTTCATTTCCTTTTCAACAGCAAAACCACACCGAACAGTAACCGACCTACCAATATGGAGTCCAACAGCAGCGCCTGCAAGCCCCTTTGTATGACTCACAATTCCATTGATTGTTTAATACTGACTTTGAACAGCAACATGTTCGACGACAAGACCTTCTCCAACCTCACCATCAAGTTCGGCGGCGACCAGCGGCTGTTCGTGCACAAGGGCATCCCCAGGTCCAACTCCGTCTACTTCCGCAAGATGCTCGACAGCTGCTTCCCCGAGGCGGCGCGGAAAGACATCCAGTTCTTCGAAGATGATCCTGAGGCTTTCCGTGGTTTCATCCCTGGTCAGACTCCGCTCGAACGGCGCCTACATCTAAACGGAGAGGCGATTCTATTCCTTCGAGTCCTAGGGATCAGATTAAGACCACATCAGCTACCTCCACCGAGCCTGCACTGTAACACACAAAGATGGCCTAGAGCAGAGTCTATGTTAGAGCTTGGGATCGAGGTACTCTGTCGATGACTATCTGCGCGAGGAACACCCAGACAGCGAGGGATGGGAGAGGAGTTGGGGTTATGAGAGTTATAGTGGGGTGTGATTGTTACCCGGTTATAGAATCTTGATGTAAATCGACGTTCTTGTACCGACACTCCAAAGCCCCGTGAAGTAGCTGCGCGGTTGGCAAAGCGTGCTGTGACCCTTCAGCATGGACGTATTTGGCCACTGTTGGAAGACCAGCACAGATCAAGTCACCATGCCGATAGGCCATGATGACAGGCAAAGTCCATCTTTCGCGCGCGGGTATCGAAGCGTAGCCTGGGAGCTTGCCAAGTTTATGCCGGATCTCGCCCACGAGTTTAGGCGTGAGAAAGCGTACTTCGAACGAGATGTCCGGGATTGGGTCAACAGCAAGCCGCAGCCAAAATCTCGAGTCCCAAAGAACCCAAGGCGTAGGGTCAGAGGGGACTTCTGCCCGTGGCATAGGTATTGGACTATTGGCTTTGGTCCTCATTGGGTGAGCACGGCAGAGAGTTAACCCCGTACCGAATTGCACCGAGCGTTTGATAACGTGCAGTTGAAAATTAACCTCGGCGATTTGCACTCTCGCTGGCACATCAGTCGAGTGTATTGTCCGCGAAGGCGTCGCTTCCGGGAAGACGAGGTCCAGGGCGTGGTCGAGATCTGGAAGCGCGATGTCGCTGCACGGGCTGACGAGGAGTAGCAATTTGCGTAGAAACATGGCTTTGACGTGATATGCCTCTTCTTGGGAAATGAACGGCAACTCCCATTTCGCATAATCGATGTCGACGACCGCCTTGCCTGTTCGGATGTGCAACTTGATAGGCGTCGCATGATATAAGCGCTCAACTTCTCGTTCCATCTGACCGTTGTCTTGTCGCAGCTTCGTTGCCATCGATGACAAGCTCTCCCGCTGTAATGCCGCCGGGAGTGCATCGCTCTTCATTAGATGTCGAATGGTATTCCGTTGTGTAAGTGTCTTGTCCTTATTCGTCTGGTCTTCGACCCATTGTACTCCTTTGGCCCGACATAAAAGGATCAAATCTTCTTTGGTGAATGGTAGCAATGGCCTGTGTAGGGACACACCGCCACGTTCAACGCGGCTTGCGGGCGCTTCGCACCACGGGGGGTTTGATCCTCTTGATGAAGACCTGTCTTCCGGAGAATTGTCTGCTGAGCGTTCTCCCCTCTTGAAAGCGTGATATCTTTCCCAGCCAGATGTATCAACCCCATAAATTCCCTCACACTCAGGAATCTGGGAATACTTCTTAATCCCCTGAAGCCCACTCCCCATATACCCAGACACAACCCTCGAAAGAATCGTCTCCGCCTGATCATCAGCATGATGCGCCACCAGTAATTTGCTAATCCGTGCGTCCCAGCACGCAGTCCCCAAAGCGCGATACCTCAGCTTTCTCGCCCGCGTCTCGAAATTCGTGGCCGTCTTCGGATCTTGTTGTCCCCACGTCAGTTTGAGAACTTTCGCTGAGATTCCAATCCTTTCGAGCTCGGTGGCGACTTTGCGAGCTTCCTCGTCGCTTCCCTTACGGACGCCGTGGTCGACGATGAATCCCCGAAATGCTCCTTGGAAAGTTGGGTGTAGAGTTTGGAGGTCGCTGCAGACGGCCGCAAGGGCCATGGAGTCCACGCCTCCGCTGATGGCGAGTCCTGTAGAGATTGTAAGCCGAGGCCGTTACGAAGAGTCATTCTGCTGTGCTTTTGATACCTATCCATGGTTCGCCTTTTGCCGTATTGCGCTTGAACTGCAGCAGAGTATCGAGCACACAATGATGTATGTTCTTGATGGCAGCTTCAACTGACGATGTTGTTTTTCTCAGCATGACCCACTCGCAACGAATGTTGTCATCTGTTCTGCCGTGCAATGGAAAAAGTGCATCCTCTCTGATGGATGTTGATCAGAACAGGAGTTGAAGCACGAGGTGAGGTGCAAAATCGACAGGATGAAAACTGCGCAGACGTACTGAGCTGAACGCTCGCATACAGCAAGGGCGAACAATGATACAAATACCACGGACACAACGAACAAAAGACGCAGACATGAAGCTGTAAAATCTGCATTCTCTTCCTATCCATACTCCCCACAAGAAACACCACATCTGACCCTCACAATCTGCAGCCGCAAGCAAGAAGCAACAAAGGGGTATAGGCGCTGTCTCGCAAACAGAAGTGACCCATTCAAACTCCACTGCTCAATGCTTCAAACGCCAATTTCCATGCAACAAACAAAAGGAATCCTGCTCATGTTTCTTCACTCCTCCACCGCCTCAGCCATGACATGCTCTCCCTCATCCAGCACGCCCATGACCGTCTTCAAATTCCTCAACATCTCGTCGGCATGTGCGACGAGCAATAGCTTCTCTGCATTCGCGGGCAAGCCCAGGTAGGTTGGAGGCTCACGCTCAGGCAGCTCCTTCACCCACTGCAGGAAGACGTTCTTCGCCGTACCACTTGGCAACGGCGAGCCAACAGCACTGTCTTCGGCTACCGCACCGATCAAATTGAAACCCTCCTCAAACGCATCGGCCGTCATAGTCTTGGAGACAAGGTCTTTCAGGGCCGCCATATCGCCAGCATCGTCGACCTTGCCGCCGTACATCTCCGAGATGAGCTCGCGAAGCATGTCCCATGGGATGCTCTTAGGCGCCACATTGGACCGTCCTCGCGCAACGTTGTCGGTCCACCATTGGATGATGAAAGCTGAGCAATCGAAGTCGGCATCATTGAATTCCCAGAATCCCTTCCATCCGAGTCGCGGTGCGTAACGAAGACGCTCCTGGACGACAGCGTGCAAGAAGGACAGCAAAAAGTGCACACGGGCCTTCTCCACTGGTTGCTGAACTGCCTTGTCTGGCAGCGAAGTGAGGGTGTCCCTCATGTTGGCACGAATGCCGGCGGGCTGCTCGTACATGAGGACCCTCGATGCACGAAGCAAGCTTGATGGTATCTTGGGGCTGGTCTCCATCGACAAGAACAAGCGGAAGTCCTTGTGTGGCTTGAGCGAGTCGATACGCTTGACCAAGTTCTGAAGCCACTCAGTAGCAAGATGGACGTTCTTGATGAGCACCCACGAGCCATTCGCAGCAGCACCCGCAAGCGCAGCATCGGCACTCGACACGCTCTCGTTCGAACCCATAGCAACGCTCGTACAGCTGGCTTGTGTGCGTTCGACAAGCTGATCGACCTTGTAGGAAGCATCGAATCCTGGACTGGAGCACAGCGCGATCGGCGAGCTGGCAGTTGTATCCCGAGCAATTCGTCCAAGATCCTCTGCGACATCGAGGAAGTCTTGACCAAAGACATTGTTGATGAACCGCTCAGTGGCAGGAACCAGCCGATCCATACGGAACAGCTTGACCAGGACCAGTTCTTTGAGTGCCTTGTCATTGTCACTTCCACCAGTCTGCGCAACGCCAGGCACGCACTCTTCCGCTCGCTCGGTCGCCAAGAACGTCGTCCACTCTGGAGTATCGGGGCTAGCGACGATGTCTTTCAGACCCTTGACTCGTGATGCGAGACCCAGTGCTTTCTCCTTGTGCTCAGGTGTATGATTGACATCGCTCCCTACAAACGACTCGTCAAGCAGGGTGTCGAGGTAGCTCTTGTCCATCGGGAAGGGTGCAGCCTGCGCAAGCAGGACAGCGAAGGTGAGTCCGTCCTTCTGCAAAAGTGATGCCGAGGTCTCGTTGTACGTCTTCGCAAACAATGACCGTACAATTGAGTCGATACGCTTCTTGGGGTCTCGATCATTCGACTCTCGAGCAGCTTTCAGAACAGACTCGAAGATGTCCACGAAGTACTGCAGTGAGAACTGATAGAAGTGATGGACGTGGTACAGTTGCTCCAGAACCGCAAAGATGGCCGAACATGAGCGTGCAATGATGTCGTAGGTGCTCATGATGCTGTTGACTTCGTTCATGACACCTTCAGTCTCGGATGCCTTGGCGGTGATCTCTGCCGCTTCATTCTTGAGCGTCTCCAGAGTCTGAATGACATTCTCATCATCAAGGATGTTGCCGCGTGATTCATTGAGCGCTTGTAGCAACATGCGCTCGAGACGTCGCAGACGTTGTGTGAACTCGCCCTGCATCTTGACGAGATTCGATCTGCGCTCATCGACGTCGGGTCGCTCAGACTTCAACACATCGTTCAGCGTCTGGGTCTTCAAGCTACTCTGCGTGACCGTGAAGTTGACAAAGGTGGTTCTGCTGCAGACGTCTGGCGCGAATGGTGCTGACGGATCCCTAGTGGACAAGTAGAGCTTGAACGCTGGCGAAAAGTCGATCTCTTGTCTGCCAAGCTGAATGAGAACACGGCCTCCGGTACGCTGATACTCCTTGTTGAGGACATGGTTGAGGATCGGATCGATGTGCTCAGCGTCTTGAATAAGAATAGGGTTGCCGAAACGCAGCGCACTCTCCAGCTGCTTGACGAATGAGCTGTCCAGGAAACTGGTGACCGTGAGTCGCCTCTCCTTGCTCTCGTTCTGCAGGAACTCTGTAACACGGCCAGACGGGTCGATGATGAGCGGGTATCGATTGTATCGCTTGAGCATGATGGCATTCTCAGTGCAGAGCTCGTCAACCGGCAATCCATTGTCATGCCATTGTTGACGCTCATCAGCCGTCGATAGGTATTCAGACAGCGCATTCTGGGCCTTGAAGGCAATGCCCGAGCTTGAAAGCTGGAGCGACCAGTCCTCCAACATGGCACGGCGGTACTGTTGATCGTAGAAGCCAGCATACGCGAGGAAGCCTGAAGCCAGGAAGACATCGCCGATGATGGTCTCCATCTGTACCTGGAAGGTCTTGCTGCCCTCCTCCCAACGTCCACGTTCGGAAGACAGACTGTTGAGCAGACGCATGCTGCGGTCGACCTTGGACTGCACACGGCTCATCTCTGCCTTGATGGCTTCGGTCTGACTGATGAGCGAGGCGTACTCGGACTTGTACGTGGCAATACTCTGCTCAAGTTCCTGTAGAGTATTCTCGATGGCCTTCGCCTCGGCCTTGGTCTGGAGCGCTTCCTCTTGCAGTTGATCGACCTCCTCTCGCAGAGGTCCAACACGATCCAGGATCTCAGAATAGTTGACTTGAGCGTGGACCCATTGGACCAACGGACCACAAGCTTTACTTGCACGGTTGACACGCTCGAAGGAGAACTCATCGTCCTTCGAGATATAGTCCGCCTTCATCTTGGATCTGTGCTGAGCTGTCATTTGCTTCTCGTTGTCGTAGTTGACGATGCTGGCGATGAAGTCGTCGCGGCGGACAATACCGACAATTGTCTTCCAGTCGGGAGCCTTGTGACCAAGCAGCGTGCAGACAGCCTCCAGTGCAAGCTTGACACCAGCTGGAGGATTCTGCATGGATCGTACTTCAGTGAGGTGCTGACGCTTGATATTGCTGACGCTGCGCTGGGCTTCTTCGACAGCTGGCTCGGCCTTGGCCAAGTCATTGAGCACGACTTCTCTCCGCTCAGCCACGACCTTCTCCTGCTTCTCGAGGGCAGCCTGGATATCGAGCGATGTTGCACGTCGCTGTTCGGCCTCACGTTGATCTGCGACCATACGCTGCAGCTTCTCGCTAGCCTCTGCGTCTTTCCTCTCTAGCTCAGACTTCTTCTCCGCGAGGCTCTTCTTCAGCTCAGACACTTTCTCGACCGTCTCCCGAAGCTTGTCGAGACCGACGTTCAAATGTCGCTGTTGTTCCTCCAGGTCATCACGCTTCTCGTTAAAAAGCTTGACGAACTGAGCGACAAAGTCAAGGAACTGGCGTGGCGTTAAGAATGTTGTCTTGTTCTGTTGGCGCTTTAGACGGTCATTAAATGATCGTAGCGAGTGGTGTACGTGTACCATGGCGTTGACCACAGCATCGCGATGAGATAGCGGCATCTCCAGCTGATCGAAAGCAATGGGCAAGCTGTCGGGAGCGCTGTAATTGCCCTTGTCAATGTCCACGGACTGTGTAAGCTCGAAGGCCACTTGGTACAGCGCTTGGTTAGACCAGTCTCCAAACCAGTTCAGAACGCAACGATTGAACAAAGCCGGACTGGTGGCTGCCTTGGAGCCGAGACCTTCAGATGGAGGATTCATCGTGAAGACCACGTGCAGGTTGCGAACAATTTGCTGCGTAAACCACTTGTAAAGTTCTTCCTGCGAGTCGAGCAGAAGGCCCTGTCGTTGTGCGCCTTCCTTACAGGCAGTCATCAGCGTAGCGTACTCGTCACCCTCGAAGAGACCAGGAACCTCACCGTTGGCCAGCAGTGTGTTCATGCGTTCGAGGAAGCCAGAGTCCAGGACATTGGATTCGTCCATAATGAAGCAGATCTTCTCGCCCTTGCAGCCGCATCTCCGCAGCACATTGCGCAGGTCCTCGTCGAAGTCTTCAGACGAGTATCTGCCGTGGACCTTGATCTGGAACACGGACAGACCGTTCATCCATGCCACGAAGCGCGATAGGGTGGTCTTGCCACTGCCGCTGACACCGATCAGAATGAGGTGGCCCTGTGGCTGCCGGAAGACTCGGTCGATGCGTAGGACATGCTCCAGCACATCGTTGAACAAGATGAGTGGCACATCAAGCTCTTCCTCGCAGAAGGTCCGCAGCCTAGCTTTGACGAAATCGCGAAGTTGATCACGAGCAACTGGGACGTAATTCTTTGATAGCCAGTTGGAGAACAGGATGGGTCGTTGCAGAGCTGCCTCCTCGTCGATGTTGGGGAAGTGCTCCACGGCAATACTGTTCACGGTGTCTTCCGTCCACTGGCGTTCATCGTCAGCGATAAGACGATCAGAGAACAGCCGTAGCGCTTCGTGAGCCCAGATACGGACAAGGCCTTCCAGTGACAGAGTCTCCAGTGGACGAATAGCCTCGTAGATCGCACGAATCCATCTCGTCAACTCACGTGGCGAGTAGACGTAATGTGGTTGGATGTCCGGCGTAAATCGCTTTTGCGATGACAGATAGACCTTGATCATTGCCTGGGTCAAGGCATCGGCGTACCCACGTAGGGTCGGGATGATCTTCAAAACTGCATTGTTGAAGGTGCCATAGATCTGCTTCAATGACAGCTCTCCTGGGTAGTCCACCATGATCAACGGTGCATGTCGCAGGAATCGCAGACCGAGAGGCGTACGTCCAGCATCGGTTGGCGGGTTGCAAGCGCCGACAAATTGGATGCGCTCGAGGCTGACCCAGCTCTTTGTAGTTGTTCGCCAGAATCCGCCATGCTCAACAAGCTGTCGCAGGAACGAGATCACACGCTGAGTGCCGTACTTGTCAGGAGCTGGCAAGTTAATCTCATCGCAGAAGACCACAAGCCAGCGACCGATCTGTCGAGGTGCCATCGTAACACCGCTGAGCGACTTCTTGTAATCGCAGTATTGCTCGAGCGTCTTGACAAGTAAATCTGGGGTTGTTGCGCTTGAGAAGTTCAGACCGACCACCTCCATGTTGGGAAGCTTACGCAGGGCACTAAAGAGCGTCATGGTCTTTCCGGATCCAGGAGGACCGCAGAGCAGGAGAGGCTTGTGCTCGGCCAAGAACGAGTAGAGCACATCTTCGTGGCGAACGGTGTCCAACGTTGGGATGACCAGGTCCGTCTGTGTCACAGAGTGTGTGTTGACTTCAATTGTAGGAACCTGGTTCTGCCATGAAGACCACGCAGCTTCTGGCAAAGTCACGTCGTAATCGATGAGAGAGGTTGTCTCAGTCAAGACAGGCATATCCAGGGTAGCCAGGCCGGCAAGGTAGTCACCGAAAGCCTTCCGGTCAATTAGGGGACAGTCTCCTGTGAAAGACCATACTGCTGCCAGCAGGACCTTCTTCGACAAGTATGCTTCCACTTGATCGTCGTTGAGCGGGAAGTCGGTATGCTGGATGTTGTACTCAAGCACAGATCGACAAGACTTCCGAAGGAGTGAGAACAGCGTGCCGATTGCTCGAATGGAGGTGAACTCCATAATGTGCTTCAAGCTTGCGCAGTGATCCATGGCTTTTCTGACGAAGTCATTCTCGGTGAGTCGTCGGTTGAGGATCTCCGCCATTAGGTTCTGGGTAGCAAGGCGTGCTTCAGAGGACGTAAGTGTGCCTGTGTCCTCCTCCAGATCCTCGAAAGTGGCAGTGCGAAGCTGGGCGATGTATCTTGACAGCATGACATCGATGTCCACGGTGTCGTCGCTGAACCACACCATACCACATCGACTGACGGTGGCCAGAGTGGCATAGCGAAGCGTTTCAACCTCGAACATGACACGAACATTGGATGGTAGACCAAGACGTTCACCGTTTGGTAACGTAAGCAGTTTGTTGTCGTCCAGCACACTGTTCAAGTTCTCGACCCACTCTGGATCGACATCACCGTCGAAGATAATCCAGTGGCGCTTGCTATCCTCACCACGCAGGTTGTCAACAACCTTGCGCAGGATGCTGGTGAACAGACCATCGGTCCACTCGCGTGTGGTGCTGTCCAAGCTACCGTACAGGCTTTCCTTGGACATGACCTTGGGATCGATGACATGGCAGACGCCTTCGACACCATCGACCTTCTGCAAAGCAGCGAGCAGTGCTTGCCATGCGGTGGACTTGCCAGTACCGGAATTACCAACCATCATCACACCATGGTGCAGGTGTTGGATCTGGTACAGTTGCAGGACCTTGGTGAGCCACGAGTCGGTTGCAACGAGCTTGCGCTCATCAACGACTTCCTGAAGAGCACCGCGCAGTTTCTCCAGGGATGCTGGTACATACTGGACGCCGGGGAAAGCCTCGCCTTCGATTTGCGCCATCATCAGAGCATCGTCTCTTACCAACTTCGGTGCGATCGTCTCGCGAATACTCTGGACGATGATCTGTGGCTCCACGACAGTGTCAGCTTCTTGAGCGTCTCCATCAGCAAGTCGCGCTCGCTTCAACCCTCCAGAGCTGACCAGGACACTCTTCAAGGCACGCAGTCCAAAGTCGTAATGCGGTTGCTTGGACAATGAACCACTGCACCTGTCGAAGAAAGGCACAGTCTGCCTCGACAGAGTCTTGGCCTCTGAGAAACCTTGTGAGAAGAGCATGACTTCTGCAATGATCTCCTTGTCAGGCTTCGACATTGCCACACTGCGGAAGAGCTTCTTCAAGTTGTCTGGCAAGTTCGAACGCCCAGCATAACCAGGGTTCATAGTGATGAACATGCCGGTCAGTGGGTGGACCTTGAGTGATCTGCCGAGAAGATCAATCTCAGAGCCAGCATCCTGCGCACGCTTTCGCAGGCCGACCTGAATATTCTGGATCTGCTGGGAGACGGCCGAGAGAATGCGCTCCTCCAATCTATTGAACTCATCAAAGCAACCCCATGCACCCACTTGCGAGATACCGAGGAAGATTCGTCCCATGGCTTGGAAGTCGAATGTGTCGTCACAGTTGAAGACGAGAGTGAAGCGACCGAGCTGCACACCAAGTGCTTTGACGGACTCGGTCTTTCCAGTTCCTGCTGGACCGTAGGGCGAACCACCAAGTCGCTGGCACAAAGCCTGACTGAGTGTGAGGAAACAACGATCCGTGAGAGGCGTGCGTACAAGGCGCTCTGGCACGCCGAGATACTCGAATCCGTACGCAAGCGTGGCGTTGGCGACTCGAATTTGCATTCGCTCGAGGGGAGCAGCGCTGCCATCGAAGTCGTAGCGCATCTGGAGTAGCCAAAGGTAGTGGCCAGGCGAATCGGCACCGCCGCTGATGAGCTTCTCAATAGTATCTCTCTGGTGAACGAACTCCGTGATGAGGTGTTCGCACTTCTTGCGGTAGACTGGCTCCAACTCTCGCAAGACAGAAGCTGCGAGGAACTTCAGCTTGTTAACCTGAACTTCGAACAGCTTTTGCAACGCGTCTCCGCCTTGCTGTAGTGCAGCTCCAACTTGCGATGTCCAGTAGGCTTGTGTTGCGAGGACGACGATCTGAGCTGGGTACTTGTAGATGTAGCTTTCGAAGCCAGTCTGGTCATCTTGCTCCAAGGTTTCATACTCTGCGACAGCCTCGACCAAGAGTTCTGATAGCGTCTCCCTCATTCCATTCTCAAGCGCACGAAGCCAGTCGTTGATCTTTGGCGTTTGGATAAGGGAGATTGGGTTTCTCAGCATCATCGTCTCACCTTCTCGGGAGGTGAGACCAGAGATGATGGACTCTTCATCCATGACTACTCCAGAAACTCCAGCAAACATCTTCCGCAGATGCTTTGCTATGCGCAGAGTATCGTTGCTGTTGCCGATGATCTCGAGCAAGTCTTCGTCACCGACGAAGTAGAAGCGAGGGAAAGCCACACGTTCCTTCTCCAGATACTCACCGAGAGCTTTTTGGATCTTGTTGAGCAAGTCCGCCAATCGCTCCAGCGAACGCTGCACATCTGGAATGTTCAGCACTTCTAAGACCTGTGGCGAACGGTAGACCTTTTTGAGGACGTTCATGAACTCGCTGTTGATGTTTGCGAAGCGAGATGACTCCACCGGTAGAAGATGCTTGATGTCGGCATTGCCAGTGAAGACGCCCTCCAGATAGACCCATTGACGCTGGACGTCAATCCATACATCGAAGAGGACGTGGATGCGATTGAGTTTGTCCTCCCACGAGGAAGCCTCCTCTTCGAACTCCTTGTAGTATGGTGAATGCCGCATGGCTTGTAGAGAGTTCAAGTGATCGCTGCACTTCGCGAACAGATCGTCCCAGCCACGAATGAGGCGGCATTTGTTCTGATAGTTGACCAGATCGAGAGTGTAGTTCTGCCAGTGCTCACGAACGGACCTCACGAACTCTTCAAGAGCCATCTCACCTTGAGCCTGTGCAATGACATCCCGAATGACAGACTCGCTTGGGCCCAGCTGCAGGTCCCAGACATCTCCAAGAGTCATGGAGATTGCGGAGTAACGCTTCGACGGCTGTAGGTTCTTGAAGATCTTCTGCCAATGTCGCTCGCGGACAGCATCAGATCGCATCTCGGTGAGGAGGGGGTTGACCTTCAATAGCTGCCTCAGGACGGATTGCAGGTGCTCAAAGGCGGCATACGATCGCATTCTGCTGGGCATCTCCTTCGTAGTCTTGATGAGATTGTCGATGGCTTGCCGAAGCTTCCGGGGCTGCACACTGTTCCAAGGCTGGTCGCGCAGGTCGTTAAGCTGCTCCCAGACGACAGTCAAGTTGGCCCACACTGACTTGTAGTCCTGAACCTCAGCCAAGAGGTCAGCCAAGGCATTGTCGGGGCCAGCGGGTAGTTCCAAAGCTTCCTTGGCCTTGGAGACCATCTCAGATTGCTCTTGAAGCTGCGTGAGCTCGGTGTCGAAGCCATCCAGGACCGTCGTTGCTTCAGCGGGAGGAATAGATCCAGATTCGGGCCTCTGCTCTCTCCACTTCTCTGTCATCTCTGCGATTCTCCGGGACACAACTCCATCTTCAGTGATGATCTTGGATCGCAAGCCTTCTGTATGGTCGGCAATCTGCTTGCTCTTCTTGTCCAGGACTTCCATCAAAGCGGTCCACTCATGGTCGACCTGCTCCACATACAGCCAGTCCTTGGGATATTGGAATCGCAGTCGAGAAAGAGTCTGCTGCCCTTGCCTGAAAGTATCCATCTCAGGCTCCCAGATCTTGGTCTGCCGCTTGCAGGTCTGTACAACCGTGATGAAGGACACAGCTTGTGATGTAGAAGTGGCTTGCATCGATTGGCCTTCCAGATCCTTTCTCGCACGCTGAAGCTCGGAGAAGACGTCGACAAGACGCGTCGCGAACATTGACGAGAAATGAGCAAGAAGATCATGTTGCCATTGATCGTACTTGGCATTGACTTTCGACTGCACTTGCTCGTAGTTGATGATCAGGTGGCCAAATGAACGCCGCATACCAGACGTATCGAACGTCTCTCGCTTCTGACGGATCTCGAGGATGAGCTGGAGCCACAGATCAAGCTCCTCGCCTAGGTCGTCTTGGATTTGTTGCAATTGTAGATCCCATAGAGACTGGAATTGCAGCCACTCGTCGACGTATGTTTGACCGACGCTTAGCTTGGCCTCGATTCGATCATAAAGCTCTGCAAGCGAACCCATGCACATGATTGGCAGCTCAGAATAGGTCTTGGTGATGGTCGTGCTGCTTACAGTAAGTGCATTCTCGAAACGGGAAGCTTGAAGGCGCGGCAAGCTACAGACAGTAGCAAGCCAACTGTTCAAGTTGTCAAGCCAGCCAGTTTTGGCATCTTCGAGAGGCGGATCGAGCTGGATGAGCTGGCTCTGCATGAGAATATCATGGCTGAATGTTGCGATGTTAGGTGAACCTGGCTCGCGCTGTTCTTGTTGTTCAGCACTGTATCCATTTTCGAAGTCCTCCGTCCAGTCTTTCAGAGCCTGCTGTAACCGTGCATGGAGTGTATCGACGACTCTCTCGTTGGTCTTGGACACCCAATATGGGATATTCGAGTAAGTCTCGAGGTTGAGCTGATCGATGGCACGCTGTAGAGTCTCCAAGTGGGTGCTGAAAGCTTCGTAGGTAAAGGGGCAGGTCTGCAGCTCTCGTAACGTCGATTCCACGGTCACTTGGATCGTTGACAGAGTTGTGACCTTGCTTTGCAAAGTAGCAATCGAGTTGCCCAGGTTTCGCACAAATTGTACGTGCAGCTTATCGTCGCCGGAACCTCCCAGACCACCTTCATTACTGTGGCGAACGTGAACGTCGTAGGCGAGGACAAATGTATCCCAACGGAGAGGGGCGCCCTTGCCGATAAAGCCTTGCACGCCATTGCGATATCCACTGAGCAAGGAGGTGACCTCCGACATGTTCTCGATTGCCAGATTGGTCTGAGCATAGGTGTTCAGGCTCTCCATCAAGCTGACAGCGAATGGGTACACCCTCCTGGCTTCCTTCGACACGTTGGAAATGGCATGCGGAACGACACAGTTCAGCCAATGCAAATTCCGCACCTCCTTGAACAGGATGATGAGCTGAGAATCGAAGTTGACGTTGATCTCAAGCACGTTGCCACGAGCACGGTTCTGGGTGACAGAGAACAGACGTCCAGAGATGGAAAGATGCCGCCTGCCAATGTCCCTCAACCAATCGTCGACGATAGGCTTAGTGTCCAGCTTTCGACGAAAGCCCTCTCCTAGCTGATTGAGCTTTGCACCATCCGTGTGTTGCTTCCACTGAGGACCCAGGATATCTTCTACCTTGCCAAGGTAGTTGTTCAGCTGTCGCTCGATCTGTCGTGCGCGGATGATGGCTCCAGATATGGGTGGTAAATCGTGCAGTTGCGCCATGCCGTGAGCTTCAGACTGGCCGTATTGGTGGGTGAAGCGCTTCTGCAGGCTATCGATGTCCTCGCGCACGTTGTTCATAAGCTGTACCTGGTATTCTGTTATGGCGCCCTTGATCTTCGGTCGTACGAAGAGGGCATTGAATTTTGAGAAGACACGAAACATCTCGTTGGCACTCTTAGCAACTGCCAGCCGATCTCGTAGTCGTGCGATGATCGAGTTCTCGACACGTGCGGTTCGCTCGTTGTATGCAGCTTCAGCTTGCGTCCATAGACGCTCGCCTTCAGGAGAGATATCGAGCACATCCACGTCCTTAACGGCAGTGTACGCTTGAGTGATCTCTTCGGCAGCATCAACGTCGCCCATCTCCTCGACGATCACTGGAGCGGTTGCGCCGTCAGCGAGATCGACGATGTCCTCGTCTGGTCCAAGAACCGTGGCGATCGTCTTCTGAAGTTGCTCATGGTCGTCTCTGAACTTGTAGATGTAGTTAATCCGGTCTTGGGTCTTATCGTGGCGTTTGGTGATCTTGATGGGCACAAATTTGTCGTGTCGACGGCGCGTGACGTCTCGAGCCACATTTGTGAACTCCTTCAGGTCGTCATCCCAAATGATCCAGAGCTTCTGAACCTCTGCTACAGTCTTTGAAAACTCTCGGAAGTCCGCATGCATCAGCGCTCGGCCATGTAACAAGTCGTGCAGGCGTGAGTCCAAATCGCCAGAGATCGCCTCCACGAGAGCCAGCGCTCGCTTGATCGGATAGGGGCAGATGCGCAGCTTCTTGTTGAAGTGATTGAAAACATCGTCCAGTGCATCACGCAGCTTCTCAACCGATGTCGCAGACAAAAGCTCTTCGATGGGGAAGCCTTGAAAGAGCTGATTATACCTCTGCACTTTATCTTTCGTCTCTTTCAAGCGGGTATCTGACTGGAAGCTTGCAGTGATTCCATGTCTCTTTGCCTTCTCCAGAATCTTCATAGTGAGCGAGACACCTCCACTTGCGAGCTGTGCCTCGATCCCTTCTATTGCGCTCTCCATGGTGAGCCAAAAGTTCTTCTCTTGCGAAGTAGTGCCAACATCAGGATCATCCGTTATTCTCGTGAAGTCTCGTATCTGCTTGATCCATTCATTGACCATGCTCTGCAGTCTATTCAAGAGTGTGCTGTCCGTGACCAGGCTGTCCGGTATCTGGATGGCTGCGGCCTGAGGATCTCCGTTCGCCTCAGCGAGTTGTGCTTGTACCGCCTCATGGATTTGCAAACGTGGCGCCTCAACCTCAATGTTCTGCTGTAGATTCTGCAGAGTGATCTCCAGGTCTGCCAACTTCCGCCTCGCTCCAGATATGCCTGTCCGAGCTTCACCATCTGTTCTGCTAAGCTTATCTCCAGCTGCTTCTGATCCTCTCGCGGCAGCTTCAAAGAACGGAGTGAGGGCACCCCGCACGAATGAGTGCAGGCTTTCATACGGAGATATCGCTGATCCAGACTCTGATCCGGACAGACCAGAAAGTGAGAGATTGACGACCGAGATTTGCTTGCTGATCGGTACGTCCGGCGATATAGAAGTCGGTCTCTTCAGAAAGGCCACGCAGCCAACGGTTCCGGAAGAGTATGACACCTCCGAGCTGAGCACATACTTATCGTGATGCTGCGGTCCTTCGCCATTCACAGTGCCGTTTGTCTGTGTCGAGGGTGCCTGCTTTAGCACATACAGCGCCATCTGCTGTTCCAGCGCAAACCGCATGCATCTTGACACCGTATCGTCCAGTTGTGATGAGTTCAACAGACTCCCCGGCGCGCGCAGCTCTTGATCTGTGGCTCCCAGCGTGACTTCCAGTACGCTTGCGAGGTATTTGATGATGGCCTGCGGTTCGACCGACGATGGAGCGGGCGTGGCCGGCGTGCCATTAGCCACGCCATTGACTCCGGGGACCACGGGGTCCTCCATGGTGAGGTTCTACGATCGCGCAGCGTAGGAGGTTGTGGACATCATTTAGCGACTTTGTGATGTCCAAGGTCTAGTTCATTTGGGGGGTCGCAATTCAGAGTGATGGTGCGGCCGTCAGTCGTCGTCGGTGTAAGGTCGAAAGGTCCAAGTTCCAGAGGGTCCGGAATGAAGGTAGGGAAGGATTAATCGTCGTTGTGGCAGTTCGAGTTGGCGGTGGGTAATGGAGATGTTGTTCCTGGACTTTGTTTCACCACCAACTTGGACGCGTTCTTGTCCTGAATCGCGCAGCGGCCAGATGCCGAAGCCGAAGATATGCCGGGACGTGCAGGCACGTGATTGCGGTTCGTTATAAGACAAGTGAGTAGAGACTTCATGGCAAGCCAAAATAGACGAATTGTTATGTACTTGAGTAAACCGAAGCTGTCTATGTTCACGCAACATGGTTCACTGACGAACGCCCCAGCGCCGCTGCTTCGGTCCTCAGAATTGTACACCTCATGATATCCCAAGCTTTGCAAAAAGAAGAGGGTTGCCTTCCACGGCTAGCCATGCTATGCCCGCATATACGACTAGCTTCGTGATGACTTCGACATCGTACCTGATTCGGGGCTTCTCCAGCGTCGAGAACATCTTCTGATCGTTCTTTTCGTCTTCCTTGCCACTATCACTGAGATTTCCGTTCTCACTCGCCGGTGGCGTCAAGAGTTCTCTGCCCGGGGCATTGACTTGCAGCGATGATGTTGATATGTTCGATGCGTTCGGCTCCGGTATCATGTATGACGCCGACTCTGGTGATTCGTCCGGAGTCATGGGGTTCTGTACTTCGGCGATGGAAGGTGTTGTGGGTGCTTTCAGAGATGAGGATGAAGACTTTGGCTTTGGCCCGCCTGCTGCCTTTTCTTCTCGTCGAAGCTGCTGGCGAGATGCAATGAGCTCTCGTGCATCGGCTTCGGATTGTGGTCCCACTGAAATAGTCCGCTTTCGCCGGCGTATCGAAGAGAGCATTGCTGGGATCTCGGATGCGGTAGGCAGAACTTTGTCATCTCTTCTCAACGGTGGCACAGTGTTGTAGTCCCTGCGAAATGTTAGCTACTTCCAAAAACTCAAGTACCTCAGTCATCGCACCTTGACTGGAGAAAGTAGCGTCGAGGTATGTTCAATCCGTAGTGACTGATGAAGCGGAAGACAGGAGGCAGGAAGCTTAGTAGCAATGGCTTCATCACTGCCCGCCATATGAATACCACGACGATACCTCCGACCAACCTCCCAGCAGACTTGAGAGGATCAAGATTCGAATAGTCGTACATTGTGGCAAGACCATCTGTCGGCGGGTGTGCTCCAGTCAAGACTTTTGCGTAGTGCCACGTCCCAAGTGAGCAGCCCATGACGACTCCAATGAAAGCGACGCTGTCGTCGAAGCAAGGGCAGTTATCAGCTGGTTCAGGGTGGAAACGAACTGCCAGAGCCAAGATGGCCACGACAACGGTGGGACGTATCCAGCCATCTCCTATTATCCATGTGTCGAGGGCCAAACCGTATGCCACTCGCAGACCGGTAATGAGAGCTCCCAAGGCTGCTCCAAAAATGACGTCGAAGAAGCCATGCATACCGCAGTACATGCGCCCAATGCTGATAGATGTGGCGTAGCACAGACATGCGACTACCAAGAGGTTGAAAGTGAGCGGTGCGTACTCGTCCCGGCCGGCCCAGAGGTTGTATAGGCAGAAGACGGCCACAGAGACCGCGTTTGTAGTGTGCGTTGAAGGAAAGCCATACTCCAATGCAGCCGAGCCAGACATTGTGATACGCTGCAACGGAGGTGACAGCGGTCTTGGAAGACATACGAGATCCTTTGCAAAGCCACTGAAATATACACCAGCAGCCAGCATATGCACTAGAGCGATCCCCAGGTCAGGATATCCACACCAAAAGCAGATTGGCAACGCCGTCATGAAGAAGGTATGCGTTCCCAAATTCGCAGTGATGGCAAAGTAGGAGTCCAGAACAGGAGACCGTAGCGCAGTCTGCATGCGAGCCAGATGGGGAGTCTCGGATCGCACAACAGGAATCAGCCATCTTCGCAGTCGATACCGCCACTTTGGCAAGCGGCGCTCATAATGACTGAGTCCTCGCAGGCCCGCGTCAGGATCCGGCGATGGAGTGCGCAGATGGGCCTGGTATCGAGAACTGAGCCTGTTGGTCATAGAGAGCGAGCGTTGCGGAAGCCGAGGTGGGACATCTGCTGGAGGTGCGATTCAGGCCGTCGGTGAGATAAGCCGGAAGACACGTATCGGCGGCTACAGCGACATGCGGATCTCGTGTCAGGAGCAAGATTGGCGATTGACCTTCCGCAGCTCCATCAATATGGGGTTGTTTCGAACATTCACACAGCCGGACGAGGTGCGGACGACGGAAGCACACATGGACGTGAGGTTCAAAGTCAAAGATTGGGTGCTAGCGTCTCTTGGCCGCTCCGCCAATCACGAGCTCCCGCCGACGCGCTCGTCTTCACATGAGACTTGGACAGCACGCAAACCGGGAACAGGACGAAGACAACCACGGCACTTGGGAATAGGCTCGTGGAACTAGGCGCACGCTCTCCTCATCTTCAGGGATGATCGTGTCATGAACATCGCCCAGACACGAGATGTGACGGAGACGCCAAGCCCATCACCACAGCAACCGCCTGTTTACTTTTAGAAACAGCCGCCCGGTCCTCTCGACACCTCGACCACCGTCACCGTCACGCTCCCACACTTTGACATTCCTCCCCCCGAGCAACCAACGCTACTAAATCATCCATTCCAGAGCACGCGTACAGTACACAACAACATTCTGTTCCAGAGCGGCGCCACCATGTCCATCCACGCCGTCAACCCGAACGTCGACAACCTCCGGCGCAAGAACAGCAGCAAGTCCTTTCTCACACGCGGCGACAGCTATCGAAGGTCTACGAGAGGTAGCGACGGCACTGTGAATACGACAAGCACTGCGAGAACCAACATCACGGCGCCGCCCGAGTATAGCAAGAAGTTCGTCGTCGTCGGCGATGGAGGGTGCGGGAAGACTTGCTTGTTAATCAGCTACTCGCAAGGATACTTTCCAGAGGTGAGGGAGGGATGATACATGATACTTGAGGCGCAGAGACTAATAAATCTTCAGAAATACGTACCTACGGTTTTCGAGAACTACATCACTACTGTCGAGCACAAGCCATCGGGAAAAGGTGTCGAGCTGGCCCTTTGGGATACTGCAGGACAAGAAGAGTATGACAGATTGAGGCCGCTGTCATATCCAGAGACAGATCTGCTCTTCGTATGCTTTGCGATTGACTGCCCTAATTCCCTTGAGAATGTTCTGGACAAGGTACGTCGCCTTTCACCCCTGACGGCTTCTCTTACTAACACCGAACAGTGGTACCCTGAAGTCCTCCACTTCTGCCCAACAACACCCATGATACTCTGCGGCCTGAAGTCCGATCTTCGACACAAGCGCACATGCATCGAGCTGCTCAAGACCCAAGGGCTCACTCCCGTCACCCAACAGCAAGGCAAAGCCGTGGCGCAAAAGATGGGCGCATTATATATGGAGTGTTCCTCCAAGGAGATGGCCGGTGTCCACGAGATCTTCGACACCGCGATCGACATGACCGTCCGCGGCCAGGATCAACAGGCAGAAGAACTTCGTGCACCTGGCAGCAGGAGTAGTCCTGCAGGAGGGAGCATGCCCGTCAAGCGGCAGAAGCGCAGTAAATGCAAGATCCTCTAAGTCAGAGAGGATTGACTTTTATTGTTGTGTTCTGTTGTATTGACAAGCGTGTTTCTCTTTTGCAGGTGACGAAAAGCACCGTCAAGTGCAGAAGATTGGGCGAAGACTGCCGCCGCCGTCTCCACCCACGTTCATACAGCAGATGGGCACGATGCGCTTCTTCTTACGGGAGATGCGAAATCTCCTGTGGGGTGGCGTACGGCGATGAAGGTAGTGGTGACCGAAAAGCAGAAATGATTGGGAAGCCCAATGGATATGAGGTAAACAGTATCGAAGGTTATGGATGGTCCACGCATGATACACGAGCATTTCTTGGGCGAAACGGCGTTTGGGATGAGGGCTTTGCTTCTTTTGATGACGGCCGGAGATTCTTCGAGACTTGCGCTGGACGCTCCAGAACCGCGTGTCTGCGTGGTTGGATTCATGATAAGGACATCTTGTAGTAATCTTTCACACGATCCGGTCGATGAGAAACAATTTTGTTGTGTTCATGACATGTTTCCTGATTCCTTCCTCTCATGGGTATCATTGCTCTTCTTCCTTTTAACGCCATCGTATAGAACCATTCAGTTCAGTACATCACTGTCCCTCAGCTGCGCCCTCCTTCGCGTCCTTGTTCTCCTCCTTTTCTGGCTCTTTTGCCATGATGTTCTCGATTTGCGACCACAAGCCTTCGACTTGTCCGAACTCGTTGCCGACCTATCCAGCTCATCAGCCAGAGCCATGAAGCATACCTGCTACTCTACATACCGCTATTACGCCCTCAAGACTTCGGTTCAGCTTGTTGATGTTCTGAAGGACGTTTTCGAGGCTCTGCCACGATATCAGCTCGGCTTGAAGGGGGTGTTTTGAACCAGGCTCACGGCTGCCACGTCGTTGATGAGCAATTGGCGCTGCTGCTCGAAGTATTCCTTGTCTCCTGCGCCATTCGTCGCCATGTTGCATTCCTTGATTTGTCGTGGTTCAGTATGTAGGTGGTGGACGTGTCGCGCGACAGAGTTTCGTGTCCAGCGGGCCTCGGCCCGAACGAACATTCACATGGATCTCGTCTCGACCTCTCTTCTATACCATCACTAATACAAAGCCATAGTACCGCAATAACAAGCCATCAAGAGAGGGCGCAGCTCCTATAACAACACAACATCAAAATGGAGTTCATGACCGCCCTCCAAAACAACCAAGACAACCAAAAGCCCTCCCTCTTCGAGATCCTCTCCGAACACGAACTCAACGCCCTCATCCCTCCCTCCATCCGCTACCTTCTCGCCGTCGCAACGCATCGCAGCCCGCGATACCTTCTCCGACTACTGAACAACTTCGACGAACTATACACTCTCCTTTCCCTCGCAGTAGAACGATACTACCTACGAACCTACGGCGGTGGCTTCACAGAGAACTTCTATGGCCTCAAACGAGAGCGCGTACTGCGCATTAAAGGCGGAGATGCTACGCGTGCGCGATTGGGCGCGGCGAATGAGGTGAGGGAGACGTTGAAGTTGAGGAATAGTGACGTCTGGAAGAACCTGGCCGTTATGGTGGCTTTACCGTATTTGAAGAGGAAACTGGACGAGTCGTATGATATCCACGCGGCTGGGGTGAATATGCTTGGACCTGCGTACCGGGATCGCGAGAGATATCCGGCTGATGGGAACGTCAAGCAGAAGTTCCTGTGGGTGTATAAGTGGTTCTTGAGGAATGCCTATCCGAGTGTGAATGCCGCGTATTATTTCTCGATGCTGGCGTGGAATATGGCGTATCTGTTTGACGGGAGCAAATACCATTCGCCGTTCCTGTGGATGATTGGGACGAGGATCAGGAGATTGAATGAAGCGGATAGCAGGGCTATTGCGCTGGCTGAACAAGGTGTTAGTGCTGCTTCTGGACCTGCAGCGAGACCAGGTCAAGGCAATTCGATCTTCAATCCGCGGACATTCGTGAGATTGGTCCTCCCATGGCTGCAGTCTGGACTGAAGCTTGCACTACCCACATCGATCTTTGCATTGAAGTTCCTGGAGTGGTGGCACAACTCAGACTTCGCACGACAGCTGTCGAGGAAGGCAAACGAAGGATTGGAACTGCCTCCACCAACGATCTCTGGTCTTCCTTCCGCGACTGCTCCTACTGTCAAATTCGAAGACAAGTCTGAGAAAGACCAAGGCCCTAGCCGCCGGGACTCTGGCGTCGATGGTCCGCCGATCTCGTCAACCGGTCTCCTTCCCATCTTGACCGTCTCTGCACCCGCGTACTCAGCGCCCGACTCAGAGAACACAACTTCGGTCTGCCCTATCTGCCAAGGTCAAATCCAGATCGCTACAGCAGCTCAGACAGGTTATGTGTACTGCTACACTTGCATCTATAAGTGGGTTGACGGCACGCATCCACGCCAAGAAGCTTTCATGGAGGGATCTGGAGACGAAGAAGGCGCGAAAGGATGGGCTGAAGAAGGTGGCGGCAGTCGTGCTGGGAAGTGGGAAAGCGGTGCTGGAAGAGATGCTGTCACTGGCAGGAGGGTGCTGGGTGGCACGAGTGGGTTGCGGCGGGTGATGGTCTGATGAGGGACATCGACATCTTGCCCAGGTATCGCGGCCTGTAAATACGGCCACCCACGTCAGCTCTGGCATATATTTCCACTCCCATTTTCGACCGATAGACCCCTTACGTTCAGCATGTCTTCGGGCGTGAGCGGCAAACCCGTCAATGCAGCCCGCAGAGGGGCCGGACCATGCAAGAAGCGCGAGGCTTGGGCGTCTGCTGCTACTACGGACGCTGACCAACGACCTGGGACGTTTGCACAGCCGAGAGCACAACACCCATTACGACTGGATTCTCCAATGAACTCACCGAGCTTGGCGCTGCGGCAACCTGCAAACGCTCAAAGAGCTGGACCCCAAATCGACGAGCACCACAGGAATGAGGCGGCACGGGGCAACATCGCCCACTCTCACGCGCGAACGAATATACCCCCACACGCTTCCACACGACGAATCAATGTCCCACTGCAACAGGAGGCTAAAGAGCATCGTGACCACAACTGGGCCCAACTCACGCAGATTCCGCTCTGCCCAAGATATTACGAACCGCATGTTCCTCCGCCATCCTACCTTTCTTACATTGGGCCTGAACTGCATGCTTCGCTACTTTATCATTCGAAACGTATGGGGCCACAGCCGCGACAGCGTGGCTGGTATTCTTCCCCGAAGATCGACCTCATGGCTCCGCTCCAGCATTCGGCGCAAGCTGGATCACAGGGGCTAGAACAGGCCCAACACGTTTCAGCAGGCGGCGGCCAATATGTCTACCCTTCTTCGGCACTTGCTCTGCAGCCGCCTCCACCTCCACGAGCGCATGTACCTCCGCAACTCGAGAAGACAAGTCGTCGCGATCGAATGTCGATATCGTTTCTCATCGGCGCTCAGGACCATGACGCCAACCTCATCCGCGACACCAATTCAGTCCAGGGTGCTGAAATCGAACAAAGACCGGAGGTGGAGGATCCGGTTTGCAAGGCCTTGGAGGACGGACAGCCGCTACCAATCGCGCAACGAAAGCGACGTTTAGGGGAAATCTTGACTCTCACGCAGCAAGAAAATTTTCCACAGACAAGTGCAAGGGGGGCGAAGAAAGTACGCGTCAACGATTCACAGCTGAGCAGCTGCGAAGCAAATCTTGTGCAGGAAGACGCAGCGAATGATATCTGGACAACCGCGTCGTCGCCAATTGCTTCGTTCCTGAGGGAATTGGGAAACGTAGACCACGCGTCTGCTCGGCCGCTCTGAATGCTCCAGGCAGGCTTGATACTGCTAAGCAACAGCGTGAATGATGCTGTTGAGGCCAAGATGCGCATGGATTTTCGAGCTGCAGTGTGGACTCCAAACATGGGTGCTGGGCTCTTTAAGGCTCCCTTTACGAATCCTTTTTAGGGGTCCAGGCACAGGGCAACACCACAGTCATTGCAAGAAACTCGCTTCACAATCCTGCATGATATCAACGACCACATCCCAAAAACATCTCTTTCGATTGATTCATACGTCTTACGACTTGGTTCCACCTCGCTTGCGGTGCTAGCGCCTTCCACTATGACGGTCAACAGCTCGAAAGGGAAAGCTCGCACGGCGCTGGTCTTGGTGAATTTGGCAATGCTTACAACAATGGCAAATCTACCCGTGTATTTGTACCACATGCTTATAAGGGCTACAACTATCGTGGACCTATACCGAGCGTATGCAACCCTATGCCAGATTAGCATGGGGAGCCCGTGTCTTCAGCTCGCTCCTTCAGCCGCACTCAGTGAGGTGGGTCAATGAAAAAGTCCCACCTACGACGCATGAATTGTTTAAAGGGAGTGTCAGAGGACAAAACTTGCATTGCTATTCCACCTGTCCCCTCCAAACCATCACCTTGGACTGCTTATAACACAGAATGGCATCCAAAGAGCTCCCAACGATCCTCCTCATCCCTGGCGCTTTCACTACCCCTGCCTGCTATGACTGGCTTGCACCATACCTCGAAAAGGCTGGCTATCCCATCTCTCGAGCGACACTGCTCTCTACGAACCCGCCAGATGACCCAAGTACCTACACCGCTGAGCGAGAAGGTCTAAATCTTCTAGACAAGTACCTTCTCCCGCTAATCGAATCTGGCAAGGATGTTGTGGTCTTCGCCCATTCATTCGGCGCAACATCCTGCAGTGGCGCATCGAAACACCTGTCGAAGAAATCCCGCGAAAGCAAAGGACTGAAAGGCGGCGTTCTTGGCCTGGTCTACATCGCCACCTGCTTCCCACAGGAGGGAACAAGCCAATTCGCCCTGTTGGGCAGCCCTATGCCGCCATTCTGCAAGCCCGACTTCCCACAACCTGGGTTTCTAGTCTTCGATCCGGCGATCGACACGCTTTACCACGATGTCTCGGATGCCTCTTTGCAGAAGACTTTGGGTGAAGGTCACCTACCACAAGCGATTGCATGTTTCGAGACACCTATCAAGGACCCGCTGTGGAGTGATCCGGAATTGGACGGCAGGAGAGTTTATCTTTTGACCAAGGAGGACAAAGTCTTTCCGCCTGAGGCACAACCAGTATTAGTAAAGGGAAGTGGAGTCGAATGGGATGTTAAGGAGATTGAGGGAGGTCATTGTGCTTTCATTCAGGAGGCGGAAGCTGTTGCGAAAGCGACGATTGAGTCGATCGAGAAGTGGTTGTGAGTCTAATTGAATGCAGCTCTGACACTTGCATAGACTACGGCACAACTACCAACCTCTCCTTCCCCTGATAATCCCAACCCTTTTCAATATCGCGCAGCGCAATAACTCTAGTCGGCAGAGGTGGTATATCAAGCAACACTTTCAGAAGCTCAGGCATCTCTGCAGCACACTGTTCTACGCTCCAAGAACCCAGCCCAGATCCCCGAATGGTAATATCCTTCGACCGGAGAATCGACCCAGGAAGATCAATCGCCGGCGTCGACAACGCCCCAATGTGGACGTATAGGACTGGTTTTGGTGCTTTCAGCGAAGCAAGCAAATGCTTAGTCACCGGGCCGTAGACGTAGTCGAGCACGAGATCCACATCGTCCAGTCCACTGAAGTCGGTCTCCTCCGCCTCCTCAGAGAGCACAATCGTCGTGCCGAGTCCGAGAATATCTAGGGCCGCCTGGTCTCTCGCCACGCCAATGACCGTCTTCGCTCCAAAGTGCCTCGCTATGGCAATCGCAGCCCGCCCACTCGCAGACGTAGCCCCTAGGATCAAGACGGCGAAAGCGGCAGGGAGATTTGAGGTTCGATACTTCAACGCCATCCAACTCGACAACGCCGCATTCATACCTCCCGCAACTTGCACCGGATCCGCCCCCTCAGGCAAAGGAAACACCTTTCTCCTTGGTAGATTCACGTACTCCGCCAGGACGCCCTTCTCGAAGCTGAAGAAGTATACTTCCTTGCCGTCGTCTGTCGTCCCTACGCCGTCGACTCCGGGAATGTGCGGTAAGGGTGCGGAGGAGTAGTGTTTTCCTGCTGCTCGGGCACGGACGATGCGGTGGATGCCTACCGCTGTGACTTTAATCCGGATTTCTTCTGGGTTTGGGGTAGGGAGGTCTGGGACGAGCGTGGCGGTCGGGTTTGAGCCCCAGCCTGTGATTTGGGCTTGGTACATGTTGCGACTGAGATGGCTCACGGTAACACAGACAAGGCAGAGAAATGTCTTGGCAGGTGGGTGCTTTATTATACGAGCATCTACACACCGCAAAGCCGAGATGTTCCGATGATATGGTATAGCATCTCTTGTTCAAGTACAACGAAGAAGTACAACCCGATTACGCCCGAAGGTCGCAAAGCCGTATTCACTGCAGCTAACGCATGTCTCGGCTTTAACGCATGTTATTTTACCCGACCATATCGTCTCGAGGGCCAGCTCTTAAGATTTCGAAAGCGTCTTCTCGACTTTATCCACGCCGAACGCATTCTTCGTCAGGGCATCGCTAAGCCAGGTTGGAAGCATGGCAAGGAAGCGACAGAGCAACGCCGTCGCCCCAGCCCAAACATTGTGAGGCGGCGAAGTTTTCAGGACCTGCGAAACAACGCCCTCTGCCCACTTGCTTGCCAGAACAGCAGCGCCTGCGACTTTATCGCCCCTGAGCACCGTCTCGACATCCTCTCGGGCCGGCTCATACAACGATCCTTTAGCGACCTTCGTTCCGCGGTCCTTGTCGTTGTCCATGTTCTGGAAGATGTTGGATTTCACTGCTCCGGTCTTCAGATCGACGACCTTGACGCCGAACGCTGCGAGCTCTACTCGCTGATGGGCGGAGATCATCGAAATCGCTGCTTTTGAGGCGTTGTAGATCGACTGGAATGGCACCACGACGGCACCGGCGACAGAGGTGTTATTTAAAATCGTGCCCTTGGACTCTACGAGCAAAGGCAGGAAAGCTTGTGTCACCGCGACGTAGGACCATACGTTGAGATCGAAGAGATTCTTGGCTTCCTTTATGGAAGCGTCGGAGAAAGGTATCATGTAGGTGGCTCCGGCGTTATTCACCAGAATGTCGAGGCGTGAAATCTTCTTCACGGCTGCTGTGATTGACGAGTCGTCCATGAGATCGAGCGTCAACGTTTCGATGCCTTTGGCCTGGAGGTTCTTCATCTTATCGGGATTGCGAGCTGTGGCGTAGACGTGCAGACCGGCCTCGTGGAAGGCCACGGCTAAGGCTGCGCCAAGACCACCATCCGAGCAGCCGGTGATGAGGACGGATTTCTTCGAATTGGACGACATCTTTCACAGCAGTTTCTGGAAGGCGGTATGAGGGACGGCAGAGTCCAGCGGGAGGTTCGGACTAGAAGTACTCTGGGAGCTCGAGGACGATCAGGTGAACTACCCTCAACCCTGTTGCGGAACGTATGCCGAAAAGTTAATCCTGCATGGTTCGACGTTCACCAGGACTAATTTAGGTTGCGTCGCGAGAGGCCTTCATGCCCTGACTAATCACTATTTGGGTTCATCAGCTAAGATATTTGGGCTGTGTGTGGCGTATATTCCAGCATATCAGGCGAATCAACCATACCAGTCACAGCCTTGTCGCGATGATTACATTTAACCTTGAGTGTCAATACGCCACAACAACGGCGTGTAGTCAACCTTCCGAGAGGCCTACCGCAACGGTCTCTCAGATTGACATGAAAGACTGGACGAGATGTCAGACAGTATTTCGATTGAGTGAGTGGACGAGTCGAGCTTCGTGCCTTGCATCTTGCTCGGTAAGTTCGCTTCTGTAGTTGTCGCCGACGCCCCGATGCTCAATGTTGACTTGACCGATGCTGCGGATTGCTGATCTATACGCGTTGCCTCGTGATTCTGACCTGATCCATAGCGATTGAGGGTTCAAGAACTCCATGTCAGATTTGTTCGCCATCCTTCCGTGCTTTGAACCTCCCTAACTAATAATCCTCTATAGAGGCAGCAGACAAAGCGACTGCGACGACGGTGTAAATGTCTCACAGTCTGAATTGAAAATGCACACATTTTCGCAAGTCGCAATGGCGAATGCGATCGTATTCCTGTTTTGGCGACGAGTACTTACTCAAATTTGACCCCCAATCTCGATATGGATTACGCATCGTGACCCCCAACAGCATCCCTTGGTATGGCTCTGATATAAATTGGCGCGAACCATTGGCTGCTGTTTGCAAAAGCGTCGCAATCTTCTCGCTGAAATGTGATGGAAAGCGGAAGCGGCACCCAAACCACTCTCCGCTTGCTTCAAGAGACACAGCTCCCCATCAACATCTGTAATATAAAGCAGGAGACAATTTACCAAGTAAGTCGATACGAGGAGAGTACAGATTCCGCCAACAGAGCAAAATGACCACTGTTCAGCAAATCGTCGCCTCTAATGGGCAACTGCATGAGATTCATGAATCCATCACAGCAGTCTTCACCGGGGCTACGCACGGCATCGGGTTAGAGACTCTCAAAGCCTTTCTGAGATACATTTCCAAACCAAAGGCAATATTAGTCGGTCGAAATCGACAGAGATTCGCTCCTGAGCTCGAAGCTCTTCGTCAACTCAACCAAGATGCCGAAATCTCTTTCCTCGAAGCCGAGCTCAGCCTGATCTCCGAAGTCGATCGAATTTGCGAGACCATCAAGCAGAGAACACCAACAAACAGCATTAGCTTACTTTGCATGTCGCAAGGATACGCACCTCTTGGGCCGAGAAGGTTCAATAAAGAAGGTCTCGATGAAGCGATGACACTCGGCGTATACGGAAGAGTTCGCCTGGCAGAAAGACTGATCCACCTCTCGACGTTATCAACGAACGCCCGGGTGGTGTCAATCCTCGGCGGCGCAAAGGAAGACAAGCTTTTCCTCGAAGATATGGAGCTGAAGGAGAATTACAGCGTCATGAACTTCGTGGTCATTTTACCTCGATGATGACCTTGTCCTTCGATGTACTTGCGTCACGTAATACCACAATGTGCTTCGTCCATTACTTCCCCGGGACGGTGAGCACAGGAATGAGGTCAAGGATTCCCAATATGTCGATGCTCATGAGCGTGACCATGTTTTTTGTCACAGCCTTGTTCAGCTTCAAGGCTATCACGCCGCAAGAATCTGGAGAGCGGACGCTAGGGATCTGTTGCTTTGGGCAGGAATTTGAGCGAGGCAGTTTAAGTATCGATCTTGATGGAACGTCAAGCGCAAGTGAGCTGCTGAAAGATTATAGGAAGGACGAGGAAGTGTCGAAGAAGGTATGGGAACATCTGGAGGAGTTGTGGAAGAGGGCTGGGGTGAGTGTGGCCAAAGAATGAAGTAGAAACTCCGACTCAAACAACGACATGTTCAATTCAGAACGATAGCGTTCACGTTGATGTTTCTCCGAGTCAGCATCACGTGCGATCCCATTCCCTCTGCCCTCGGGCAAGCTTTCTCCGCTTTTGACCTCTCCGACTCTCGCACATCTCGTACCGAGGACGAGCAATGCGTTCCATGAAGGATCACAATCAAAGACCGACACATCAGTCGGAAGTGTTGCGAAACTCTTCTCATTGCCTTGATGTCAAGAGAGCTTCGATGTTTGGGTAGCCCACTGGAGTACTCAATCATGGCGGCAGATTCCACGCGACCCGTGAGGATCGCAGGTGAGCTTCTATGCGAGTACTTGGGAATCGCTTTGCTCATGGCTTGTGCAGGTGCCTCTGGATCGGTATCGGATCGACGCCATGCAGTCTCCATGTTCGCAGCGAATTGTGGCGATGATAGAGTGGACTGTATTATAGGTGACTGGATGTCAGAGGCCAACATGAGTACGAAGACCTGAGCAATGGGCATTGACACTCAGACTAAACTACATCGTAGCCGCGAGGGGAGTAATGAAGTTCGAGGCCAGTCTGAACATCTCAACACCGAAGTCCGGCGACACGTTCGCCTTTGGGGATGCTGGAGCAGCGTACGAACCGACATTCATCGAAGCTGTCGAACCAGCTCTTCCAGATGTCGCGAAGCATGGCATTAAGGTTGCCGTCAACGCTGGAGCCTCTGATACCGAGAAATTGGCCAAAGTCATGACTGATCTCATCAAGTCGAAAGGCTTGAGTCTCAAAGTGGCCTGGGTCAGCGGCGACGAGGTATTTCCAGCCGTACTAAAGGCTCGCGCAGAGAATAGGAGCAAGTTCGAAAATATCTCCACCGGGGCGGTCCTCGACGACTGGGAGTTTGAACCGATTTACGCTCAGGCTTACCTCGGTGGCTTGGGTATTGCCGCAGCATTCGCCAAGGGTGCTGACATTGTCGTATGTGGACGAGTGTCCGATGCAAGCCCTGTAATCGGTGCTGCGGCATGGTGGCATGGATGGGACAGAGACAAATTGAACGAGCTTGCGAATGCCTTTGTTGCAGGGCATTTGATCGAGTGTAGCAACTACGTCTGTGGTGGCAATTTCACTGGCTTCAAATCTCTGGAGTCGAAAGGCTGGCACGATATCGGATACCCTATTGCGGAGATCTCACGATTAGGCCAAGTCGTTATCACCAAGAACAAAGGAGGCGGCGGGGAAGTCAGTACACAAACTTGTTCGTCTCAGCTGTTGTACGAGATTCAAGGCCCATGGTACTTCAACTCAGATGTCACAGCTGTGCTCGACGGACTATGGTTTGAGCAATTGGGCACAGGCAGAGTGGCATTGAGAGGCGTCAAGGGTGAACTACCGCCGCCAACCACCAAAGTGGGCCTGACAGCAAAAGGAGGTTATCAGGCAGAGGTTCATTGGTTTCTCACAGGCCTAGACACTGCGGACAAAGCACGAATGCTCGAAACTCAGATCCGATATGCGTTGCGAGGCTGGTCAAACAAATTTACGAAATTCGAGTTCACGCTTAATGGCACGGCTGCCGAGAATGCCAGCAATCAGAACGCCGCAACAGTAGATTTTCGAGTATTTGTTCAGGCTCGGGAAGAGAAGGACATCGCCCCTAACAAGTTCCTCCGTCCCAATATCGACATCATTATGCAGGGGTACCCAGGAGCCACGATTCATTTGGACGTACGACAAGGCTTTCCTAAGCCCATATACGAGTACTACGTTACGCTGCTTCCACAAGCTGATGTCCAGCACAAAGTGCATTTGTGGAATGGACAGGAAGTTGAGATTCCTCCGCCACCAGAAACAAGGACGTACCCGGCGCAGCAGCCCAGTGAGCCCCAGGCTATAGGGGTTACATCGACAGATTTTGGACAGACAGTGCAGGGTCCGCTTGGATGGATTGTGCATGCGAGATCGGGGGATAAGGGGTCGAATGCGAACGTGGGCTTCTGGGTGCGGCATAGAGATGAGTGGGAGTGGCTTAGAACTCTGCTTTCCGTGAAGATTATTCAGCAATTATTGGCGGATGAATACAACGGGAAAAAGATCGTAAGTCAAACTTATATTGCTTTGAGAGTTGCGGCTGACCGTTCACTAGGATCGATTCGAGCTGCCCAACATGTATGCCGTGCACTTCCTACTGCATGACCATTTGGACAGAGGCGTGAGCTGTTCTAGTTCTTACGATTTTCTTGGGAAGAATGTGGCGGAATACCTACGATCGAAGCATGTAGATTTGCCCGTGAAATTCTTGAATAGGGGCAAGCTGTAGTAAAAAACGCAACGGCATCTCTCACCGTATATTACGCCTCTGTGCTATGCCAGGGTGTGAATGAATTGGTATAATGGTAATTTTCAATCACAGGTTAGCTAGCTCTCAACCCTGATATTTTGAGCAAAGTCTTCCTTTGTTAGCTCTACCATAGCCTCGTGATCGAAATCCCACACTTTCCTCCACAACGGCTCACCTTCTCTCAATAGCCGCTCATTTGCGAGATCACGCTTCGTGGGGTCACTACTGGCCCAGTCCGGTTGTTGGTCCAATTCACAAGACAGCCGACTGCTTTGCACTAGCCATTGTGTCCTCTCTCGGCGAATGGCATTGAACGAGCCAAATGCTGTAGCAATAGCATCTGACTTCGGAACCCCCTTTGCCCTCTATCTCGCCTCATCCATGCTTTTACAGCATCATGTAATAGGATTCCTGTGTTAAGACGGATTTTGGCCACAGTTGGGAGTTCTCATCACTACAATCGAACATGAGAGACTCTCTCGGCCCCAATCTGGCGTAGATCCGGCTGAGCGTTTCCCGAATCAATCTGTGCTTGACAGGATGTCAATAATCGGTCGCGAGGACATATGTGGAGATCTTTTGTGCCCTTGTCGTTCAATTTCAATGCTTCGTGCCTCGCCGTTTTGTGTTTGTAGCGTTGTAGTCAGGGGTTGTATCATCTCGGCCTACTGCGACAGGCTGCGAGCTCGGGTTTGCTACTGCAATTCCCGGTCTTGAAGCAAAGGGCAGTTGATAGGCAGCGGTGAGCATACAGGCGCAAGTACTGCGTCTGAAAAGATCATGGGAACAGCATATGCTCGCCCTCATCGTATGATGTAGCCAAGACATGCCGAGACAAGCAGGGCTGTGGAAGGATCTGCGGCTGACAGAATACATGCACGTCGACTTCAGCTCCTCACTCACGCACATCAAAAGTCCTTCAAGCCCAATATTCTGAGCGGCTATGGCAAATGCTCGACCATTTCTGTACGGGCTAAAAGACATCGATCAATACATCCGTCTCAAACACCTTCGCGAGAAAGAAGAGCTCGAGTCTCTTTGCACGCAATTCTTTGCGGCCCTTGACCATCACGATTACAACCACCCAATCTTCGAGAACACATACCCCGACGCCGTCTCTGAGAAACTTCAAGACTCTGAGATTCGTGCCATCGACGGTCTTCCCAAGTGCGATGGGCTCAGACGGGGATTAGCAGACGTTCTAGCGAGCCACCAGCTGCTGTGGCAACAGTTCCCCGAATTCAGGATGACGGTGGACGAGCTGTCCATCTTCGTGGATGAGAAGTTCTCGCTTGCGGATGTCTTGGTTTTGTTCAGCACACATGGGCTGCCGGTAGGGAGAAATGGCAAAGGCGGGCTTTGTGTATTGAGATGGTTGAAGGATGGGAGAACTTCTGAGTGGGTTGTGAAGGATGGAATGCACATGCAAGGCTCGATGGAGTTTTCAGTATGAGGTATCTAGTGTTCGTTGGTATTTGCACAGGCCTTTCGTGGTCTTGTAAAGCCCGGGACCCCTTTCTGTTCCAATCGGGGTGTTGCTGTCTACCATTCAGGTCTGTCTTGCCCAATATCGATCTTCTCTGACCTCCGCAAGATATCTTCCAACCAGTATGCTAGAGGGGCAATTCATGCATTCTATGGTCATAATACAAGATCCCATCCCGAATAGGAGTCTGCTCGACTCCGAAGACAGCATAGGATCGGAAGCTTCCGAGGTCGTCAGTGATCTGGCAGTCCATTAGCACTGCGAAGCATGTCAACGTCGTAACCGCATAGACGTACTTCGCCTTCGTTTCCGAATTGGACCGTCGCATTAGGCGCTAGACCAAGCTTCGCCTTCCCCTCATCTCGAAGGTGTCTGGACCCGTTCATGACCGACACTCTGTAGCTTGCCCCCAGATCTTCGACCTCGCACATTGCGACGAAGACATAGCGAAGATCCTTAATCAGCGACCTATGCATGGTGCTGAGCGAGAGACCCCACGTCCACCATATTCCCGGCCACTTCACAGGTATTCGGGTGACGTCGTAGACAAATACAGCACCTTCGCCCCCGTAATACGAGCGAGCAAACTTGTCGCGACTGTGGCGGTCGACATGAAGGAGGCCGACGTTGTCGGGCGCAATGTAGAGAGGACGAGCAATGCGACCTTCTTCAGAGGCGCCCTTTGGTGGCTTGCTGGTGTAGCGGATGCCTGGCTGGGTGGTGAAGGTGAGGTCGTAGATGCAGTCGTACAGCTCTTGCGGAAGCTTCTCGAGGAGCGGGCGCAATGGGACAGATTCGCCTTGAGTCGCCTTAGTATCGACCGACATGGCGGCGTTCGTCGCCGAGGGTGTCGTCGAGGTTGCTAATTCGAGGAAGAAAGTCGAGGAAGCAGTCTTATTTGAGGTGCTACGGGCCACTTGGAGTCCGTGCATCCCATCGGGCTAGCGTCATGTTCACATGCCCAGAAGTCAAAGCTTGCTGTACGTCATTGGCATGGACAGCAATCATTCACTTCCCATTCACGCTAAACAGTTCCAGAAGCAATAGCTAGAACAGCTTTGCTTGGAAGCGACTCGTTGATCCACCCCTGAAGCGTCATTGTTTCCTTCAGCACACGCTGTCGAGCAAGGCCCCAGAAGCAGCTAGACTCATGGGACATTTCCGAGGAGCGCTGAGGGCTACAGGATGTGAGCACACCGCTGTTGCTATGTTGAGAGCCCCTCGCGCCATTGTGAGCCGTACGCCTGGTTAACCTGCCTCGGGCCATAGTTGCTAGGGAAGGTTTCGTGGATATGTCGATCACGGCCAGAACAGAGCATGAAAGCGGGACACGAGCTGTTCTTCTTCTGCGTTTGGTTGAACCGACTTCCAGTGGACTGTCAGCCATCGGTATCACGAATGGAAGATTGCTCAGTGCTCGATCATCACCGTGAACGCTGCAGCAGGCTCACAAACCTCAATCGAGCCGTCGAGAGTGGTCAAGGTGTCGAATCCCGAATGTCTATTAATGCAGGTTTTGGAGCGTATCTGCTAGTCCAAAGGCTTGCTCCACAATCAATGACGACGCTGCATACTTGTCAGATCTTTGGAATGGTCGGACTGATCAAGGAGTCTATGGAATCGAATGAGTAGCGAACCACGCTTGCCAGTCATCGTCCGAATTGGGCCAAGTCGTGTCAACAGTCCGATTCATTTCGGTAGCTGATAGGGCAAGATATGGGATGTCCGCGAACAGGGAAGAGCAGTCAGGTGCCGCGCTCGAAAGCTCATCAAAAGCCGCACCATTGGTCGGAGCAGGTCCACCATGAGTTGAGTTTCCTTGCTGAGGCTTCAGCCCACAGGCCTTACTCTCTTCAAGCGGCGACGCCCTGTCGCGGTCGATCTTTGACAAAACACCTACCCTCTCGAGCGCGGAAAGGGCATGACGGGCGACGTGGTGCCTCTTCGCGACCCGCTGCACGATGTCGTATGCTGTCTGCAGTGAAGCTTCGAGTGAAGAATGCAGGTCTTCGCAGCTAGGTTCATCCAAAGCCGGAATGATGTGGTACATGCACTCAACGAGGGCGACAATGCTGAAATAGCCGAGCATTCGAGTGAAAGGGAAGGCCAATACGAATGCTAGATGGGCGTGCATGACTTCAACCGCAAGCTGGGAGCTTAGACGTGTCGACTCAACTGTCGCCATCGTTGAAGGATGCAAAGGGCTGTGCCTGATCAACGCTCGTAAGAGATTCACATTCTATGAGCATCAGTGTCAGTTTTGCAGGATGAATGAAGGTAGTATCCTTACAGTGAAGAGCATTAGGCTCCTGAAAAGGTCGACCTGAAAGCGAAGCATCCGATGTTAGCAAGTGTTCAAGATGTGAAAGTGCGGCGTCGTATATACGTACGTCCGACAGACCGTTGGCGTGTGCAGTCTCAAGAGTACCCAAGTGCCATTGAAGCTCCGACGGCAGCCGCTTCAATAAACTCACAGCTCGAGTGTCCATGACTTCAACCTCACAGTCGTCGAGCTTCTTGGCGCTGGCAGCGAAGAAACTATCCCAGACCAAGCCAAACAAGCGACCTAAGCTGATGAGAGCTTGGAGCCAGGCATCCGATGCGTGCCCGAGAGAGATTGCCTCGGAGCCTTTATTACCGCTATTTTGCGTAGACGTCGCGAAATCCTCAACGGCAATGTCGACGTCTCGGATATGATAAGGAAGTCCACACTTTTGAGCCACTCGGCGGTCCAGATAGAACAAGATCCACCAAAGTCGCTTGCGTTCGACCCGTTCTTTGCTCGACAACTGAGATGGCCATTCGCTTTGATGGTTCAGCTTCATCATTGTAGCAAATTGATACGCAGAGACGATTGCCAGTGAACTTGATCGCAAGAGCTCTACAAGAATGAGGTAAATGGCACTCAAAATGTGGATTTGAACCAACGGTAGCCCAAGCACGCCTGAGTACGCAAGTCGGTGAGCCAGGAGGCAACCTTGAGAGTAGAAAGACCATCCGGGTCTGTCGTTGTTACCAGCGTCGACTTCCTGTGCTTGACCAATGGCAAGCGTGTGCATCAAGACAGCCATAAGTGGTAGGTGAGACGCATCAACCATGACTTCCCGACTTGTGTGGCTGTAGCCGAGTTCGAGTAGACTTTTACGGATGGATTCTTCCATTTCACTTGGATCGAGGAGGGAGTAGCATATAGCGGTGCATTCGAAGGACTGCTTCATCAGGGACCACAGTGTCACTGGGTCCGGCAAATGTATGGCAACTCGGCCTTGTGGTTTGACTGACGAATTGGCTGGAGTATTGGACAGCAGAGCTAACTGTGATGACAGCGCGAGGTTCCTCTCTGGCACAACCGGTGGTTGAAAGATATCGGAGGCTTCTTGGTCGCCGTGGACAACTGGTGAGGATTCCGAGAGATCATTGTTTGGCATCAGCTGGATGACCATTCGCTCGAGTGTAGCCACCTTTTCAGCAAGCGATAAGGTCTCGTCGCCAGATGCTGACTGTCCGTGGTAGATGCGCTTCAGGGAGTTCTTGTCGTCGCTGCTTTCGTCGCCATGCCTTCGTTTTGGGCCTCGCTGTTGGGTGAAGGTGTACTCGCATGTTCGGCTTCGATCGGCGCAAGAGCGACAAGGCTGTTCCCCCGAGCACTGGCACGGCCATCAGAATAGTCAATGCTATTTCGTGGGTGGTCTTACTCGGGTCTTTCGTCGCCGGCAGTTGTCACTTCACGAAAGACGTAAGCAGAGAGAGCGGCCTGAATGCGCGCGGCGCAAGCATACCAGGCCAAAGATGTGTAGTCTTTTCTCTTCATTGTGTCCAGTGGCGATACATGCCAGCCGCCTCAGATGCGGCGAGATGCGTATATCTGTATGACGGAGTCGCAACGACGAGATGAGGTGAAGTTGGAAGGGCGGCTGAGTAATCTTTGGGGGAACTAGCGCACATCCAGTATTGCCGCGTAATGCGCAGCTGTGCGCTTCACGCTAGTGGGCGCTGTATAGTATATACTACATGTACACACCCTTGCTCTCTACCTCCCACCTCTCAGTGCGCATTCGTGAATCTCATAACGGCAAGATGGGTAGACGACAGAAATGTGTCTCCGCAAGCTGCAAATGGCTGCCATGGATTGCCCGCCAACAATCGCTAGTATCGTCATTCGTTCCACAACCTTCAACCTTGACAACTCCACTCCGACTCTTGCAATCTGGGACTGTACTCTGTATGTTGTCCTCGGCTCATTGCTGCTGGAATACGGCTTGCGTCGTGGCGTCATGGCATTCGGCCGTCAGGGGTGCAGGAGGGTGTTGGGCTGCTACCGATCGATCACGGTTTGCATGTCACTTGCGCGAAGTTGCTCGGATCAGATTGCAAGATGTAATAGCAACCATTCGTTGTCCTATGCGGGCGCATACGGAGTCAGTACAAGTCGTTGTTGACGGTATGCGCGGCTTGAGAGATTCCGGAACAAGGGGTATGAGGAGGGTGTAGTTCTTGTTTCTGGTGAGGCCTACCCGCTGCACTGTTGCTTATTAGTATCTTCGTTACACTCAAGACCACGATAGGCACTCACAAATGAATCGCAATCGCAATTCCAGCCCAGGAAAGACCCGGTCTAAAAGCAAAATGGCCGAAGGTCAGCCCATGCCTCACACAACGAAACCTGGTATTTTTGGCCTCATTGCGGTACTCACAGGACTATAACAAAACCCGCAATTAGCTTGATCAGTGCCTGTCGACCTGCAAGACTTGAAGGTGGTGATCGGGCGGTGTTGTCGCAGGAGGGCGTTGGCGACTTCAGGCACCTGGTCCGCAGCCAGCGCGAACGTTACGAACGCCAATACGACGGCGAGGATGGAATACATGACGACTGCGATTGTTGCACGCACAGAGACGACGAGAAAGTGAACAAGACTACAAGCCGCCGGAGCTGGTCAGTACTAATGCACATTCCTTTGAGCCGCGGCGGCCAGGGCGGCTCTGATCATTGGATCTGTGCAAGTTGCGACCGTTCCTTGGCATACAGCCAGTCCGCCTTGGCTCCGAACTTCGCAGAACCAGAAGAACGTAAGTTGGGGCAGTGCAAAGACTTGGCGATCTCTCTTTCGACTCGTATCGTCCTCTCAACGACAAGGTGGAGATGGGATTTGCGAATTCAGATGAGAGTAGGACAGTTCAAGAGACCGGACAATCGCAAACAGTACCCAATCTCGTTGTTATTGGAACAGACTTGTTGGAGAAGAAGGCGGGTGTTGTTTGAATGTCAAATCGGCGCTAACCCCAGGTCAGCTGCCAAGACCCCTGAAATTGGAGACTTCTCCTCGTACGGCGTTTCTGATCGACGCGATGCTTGGTGCCAGGGAATCCTTCGGCCGCCGCGTGCGAAAGAACGTTGTCCGCGAGTTCGCGCCAATAGGTTGGCGTCCTGACATTGCAGTCGTTCATCCCTCTCGTCCCGTAGGCTCTGTGACTTCACCTCATTGTTATCACTCTCTTCCTCAACTTAATCAAGGAAGACGACAACCATGCGGTCCACGACATTCTTCGCCAGTATTCTTTTCGTGGCTCGATGGGCGCTGGCCATCGACTTGAATCTGGATGACCCCGAATCCATTAAGCGCGCCGCCAGAACAGCGGCAGATGGTATGATGCAGGTAATACAGAGGCCCTGTTTGCAGATAAGAGGCATCAGAAGCTGACTTCCTTAAAACAGTGGTACGATGGCAATAAGACAGGTAAATTGACGTGTATTGCATGCTGTACTTTAGGTTGACTTCCATCCAAAGGCGGGATTCCCGGTCTTCTTCCAGGCCCCTTCTACTGGTGGGAAGCAGGAGCCATGTTCGGATCCCTTATCGACTACTGGTACTACACTGGCGATACGAGCTACAATGATGTCGTGACGGAGGCGCTTCTCTTTCAGGTTGGGTGAGCTATGGTTGTTGATACCGGCGTCGGTCGAGGTGTATTGACATTTTTACAGCGCCGATGTCGATTATATGCCTGCAAACCAGTCTAAGTCCCTCGGGAATGATGATCAGGCCTTCTGGGGATTGTCAGGTTAGTGTTGTGGATTGTTTTGTTGCGTTGCTTGGTCGAGAGGCGGAGCAATATCAAAAAGC